TTTAAGAGGCGTGAACAGGCATTTTATTACCCAACGAAAGGTCTGATTTTATGATCCATACAAATTGCATGAATCCGCCGCATGGCGTGGCTTCTACCGCTGAGACTACGCGTTCGTAAGCAGATCCGTCGGTGATACGAACAATTGGTTTAGTGTGTGTTTGCAGGCTCTCACGTGTGGGTTCTTGGCTTTTTTTTATTATTAAAGTATTTTCAATATTTGTTAAATTAAATGGTTTTCGGCTATTTATTACAGTTATGTTGTTGTTGCCCTTTGTTATTACTTTAGAGATGCGGTGTTTCTTTCACTCTCAGAAGACAACAATTAAAAAGTGGTGCAAAAGTCTGCGAGTTGGAAAATATGTTTTACTGCTTTCGTAATGAAATTACTTTTATGAGCTTATTTCAAATAACAGAACAACAATGCAAGTATGTTGTCATGTAAAACAAATCCAATAACAACAAGTTCAACGAGAGCAATTGCGGCTTCTCCATCAATAAGCGAGCTGACTTTCTGGATACGCACAGCAGGAAGCGGGTTCTTTTTGAAGGTATTAGTAGGGCAATAAAAACAACAACTACAACAACAACAACAAAAACAACAACAACAAATTGCCATAACCACGATTATGAAGCGAGATCTTAATCTCTTGCCGAGAAATACTCAAACACATAATAATAATTTTGTTGAAAAGTTATGAAGTGTCAATATAACATTCTAACTACTTTGCGCAGCATCAACTGATTGCGCTTGTCGCCGCGCAGAGAACGTATATTCTAAGTCTTAGCTCCGCTGTGACAACAGCCACAAACGTCTTCGTCGGCTGATGCGATGCGGTCAGTCACTGCACGAGGGGCGAGCCGTAGACGGAGTCGCTTTGCATTTGTACACAGTCACCTTGTGAACAGAGGCACAGAGGCGGGCGGGTTGATAACAAAAAATGCGCATGTTGTGCTTATATTGGAGATACATGCGGGATTTCCTGCGGTATGCGCCGGCTAGCGCCGATGGCCAAACATAAAGCCGACACAACACCTATTGACATACATATGTATTCGTGTATGTATGTATATTATATGTATAAAGTCTTGTCGCATTTCGTGTTGCATACACCACATGCTCTTACTTCTAAAAACACTTTGAAATAATTATTAAAATTTATGTACACATAGATACATATAAATATCTGATTCCCAGACTCTGTTTTGTCCATTCAACCACAGTTCCACACTCTCCTGCTGCTCTTAGGCTTATTTGCCTGCTTTTAGTGAAATCGATAGGCGACACTGTGCAGGCGCTTCTACAGCTGACCTCTCCCCCTATGCCTCTATATCGCGGTCAACATTTCTATTACTTTCCTACTTCTAGACGTTTTCATTACATTTGAGTAGTGGATAGTCTTACTGCCAACATTCCCGGCCGCCGGTTCTTAGTGATTTATGCGTCTTATCTGGAAGTAGGTGGCGCGCCATAATAATTTCCCATTATTATTATTATTGTTGTTATTATCATGTTGCAGTGAGAATGTCAACGCGACTATAAAAAAAAACATTGAAAAAGTTAGAAACCAATTTGCTGTGGCTATGGCTTTCTGGATATCAGCAGGGTAGCAAAAGGACCTAATATACCAAAATGTGGGAGGTTTATTGGTAGTCGTTAACATGTCTAAATAGTTTATTTCTTTATTTCGCTTTTGCAGTCTAAAATTTATTTGTAAACTATAAAATTTTTTAAGCTGAATTCTCTGAAATATGAACAAATGTATTGAAATCCGTGGAAATCTGAATGGGTTATGGCTTAGTGTAGACAATTTTACCTGGCAATTTTACAATGTCATTGCAAACGATTTTGTGTGGTGATTGTACCATATCTACAATATGTCATGCCTATAGGAGATAGATTATTGGACATGAAATCGAAACTTAAGATGTGTATCAGAATATGTACGATTGTGGTTAGACCAGAGCGGAAGAATAGAGTATTGATATGGCGAGAAGTAATATATGAAAGTAGCCTATGTACACAGAGCTTAAGAAATACTGACAGTATATAAAGGTTCTCACTATCTTTGAGTAGGTCAGATTATTTCCTACAAATATTGGACTTCAGTCGTTAATTTCGTTTAAAGTTTCTCACAAGAAGCAAATACATCAATTTATAAAGCTTTACTGCCGCCTGATTATGGGGTTGTCCTCCAGGGAACTTATAATTCTCTCATATTGGACAATTATTCATATTCGGGATCTGCGATTATGGCAATGCACATTTTCAAAAAACAATGTTTAAATAAAGCTTGTGAATCCACGAACACCAAAGCATCCCTTGACGAGTTCAATAAAGAATAAAGCACGTTCCGCTAGTAATCATCAGTCAGGCATTGATAATGCCCACCCACAATACCGTTCTAGTTCTAGTTTCCTTTAACTTGTTCAGCTTGTTACCAACAGAAGTATTGTGCATCACATTGTATGGCTCTGTTGTTGAACCTGCAAATACTTGGAATTCAATACAGCAGACGACGATGCGTTAATGTAAAGAATATTTCTGTCATTATTTTGATCAGCCTCCATTTTCATGTAACATAACATTTGGGAATGAAATCTTTCTATATCATTTTCTTATGGCATGCTGAAATATTAGCAATGTGAACTTTACACATCTCAACGCAACAAAATTATGTTTCGTTTTACGGTTCGCTTAAAGTTCCTAGCAGATATTTTTGTGTAATTCAAACCGTTGACAGCTGGCCAAATTCTATTTTTAAACCCAAGGTATTTAATAAATATGTGTATGTGCCGCAATATAAAACTCACAGGTAGATATGTATTTACATATAATATAATGTGTATGGCTCTACATTTATTTATGTATTATATATGTGTGTTTTAAGTCAACAATTTTTGTTTACATACATTATTCTTTAGGGATAATATTAAAACAAAAATTCATAATAAATAGTTAAAAAAGGCAATTTGAAATATTAAAATAAAAATTCATATTAAATAGTTATTAAATCTTTTGAATGAAAAGTTTCTAAATGTGTATGTATGTACGAGTACATCTGTGTATATTGCCAAGCAAATCTTTGGCGCCAGTTTGCTCAACTACAACAATCAAAACTAATTGGTATCAAAACATATTTTGTACATTTCAATTAAAATTAAATTAAGTACTCAAGTATTTTAAGATGGCAGCAAAAGTTAAATTATAATGAGTACTATTTGTATGCATACGAGTGAGTATTCATCAAGACGCATACGCCCTGCCACTTGCTAAAAGTATCTTTAAGCATTATTTTTTGTATTGATTCGATCTACAATATTACTCCGCCTTTTCTTCTCTTCGCTGTGAAGTCTCCTCTGATCTCTTCAAAGTGGTGAAAATGCCTAATTATACCAGAGCCCTTGGTATTGTCTATTTCAAGCAGCTCTTCTAAAGTTTAATTAATGCTGGATTCGTAAGAAACCGGTGGACATCGTGGACGCGGCTTGGGAATATCTTAGACACATGTTCTTTCGCATCACGACATTCCCAACTGTTTGTATGTTCATATGTAAGCCTATAGATTTCAATTACCATTTATTGATATACACGTGTGTCCGTTGCCCTTGTGACTTTTTCTACGCTCCTCTTTGGCGGAGATTGTAATCGCTGATCAGTGTTCTATGAAACATATATGTATGTATATGTATACTAATAATTGATACGTGCATCTGTTTAGATTTCTATCGCCCTTTATGATCTGTTTGTGGTACATTATACTGCCCTTTCTTCAGTGGCATCTATGCTGCACACAATCACTTCACAATAACATAATTTTTTGCAAAATTTATGCATTTCAACCTAGGGCCATCTTTTGCCGTGACTTGGCTTTATTCATACACATTTGCCCCTTCATGCAAGTATGTGCACATACGAGTATCCATACATATACATATATTCTTATGAATTATTTTTTTTATTTCTTTATAACAATCGAAGAATTGTGTAAATATTGGTATTGCATTAGTTTTGCTTGGCACGCTAAGAGACTTTTTCAGCCAATTTAGATTCGCTTGTTAGCCGCACCATAAATTCTATTTAATCTACAAATTTTCACTTTTATTTGGTGTCGATGAAAAGGAAGTTCTTCTAGTTTTTCGCACATTATCTTTTTGATTGAATACAAAACCTCGAAAGGCATGCAATATATGCATGCATTTCATTTTCTTTTATTGAATTTATATAAATATTATTTTTTTTTTTTTGATTCTATGTTATTTTATTCAATATATATAATTTTTTGATATTTTTTATTTTATTTTATCATATTTCATACAACTTTATGTATTTAGTTTTATCTTGTTTTATTTTACTTTAAAATTATTATTATTAATTTTTTATTTTATTTTATTTAAATATATTTATTTTTATACATTTTGTTTCATTTTATTTTAGTTTGTTTAATATTATTTGCTTTGACCTTATTTTACTTCATCTTATCTTATTTTGTTCAATATTTAATTTTGTTAACTAATCTATTTTTATTTTATATTATTTTAATTATTTTCTTAAGTTTATTATATCTTATTTTATATCTTTTTTCGTAATTAATTTCTTCTTTTTCTGATATCTCTAAGAATTTTTATTTTTATTGTATTACATATCATTTTACCTTTCGTATTTTTTTTTATTTTTATTTTTAATTAGTTTTCTTTTTTGTTTAATTTTATTTCATTTAATTCTTAATATTTCTTGTTTTATTTTAGTTTTCCTATTCTTTAATTTATATAGTGTAGTTTTCATTTTTCTATGTATTTTTTCATAATTATATTTTATTTCTCTTCATTTTATTTCATTTTCAATTTATTATTTCTTTATGTTTCTTTTATTTATTTTATTTTGTAAACTATTTTCACTTTCATTGAATATAATTTAGTTCCGTTATTTGAATACTGGCCGACGTTCCAATTCCGGCTGGAATTTGTTCTTGCTGGCAATACCTCGCAGCTGTCATTTCTATTAAATTTTGCTATTGCCATTTTCCATTGTGCTTTGCTCATTTTTCTGAGAATGGCTGCGTTTGGTAAAATTGCAAATCGTGTGCTAAATTTAACACCGAATTTCCGGCCTTTACAAAGGAATTTTCATAAATTTCAAAGTGCAAAAAGTGTGCCAAAGAATTACACAAAATATTTAGTGTTTGTTAGTGGTGGTTTGACGGCGTTAATATGTACCAATTATATGAAAACCGAGCGTTTGGATGCAGCATTTCGTATGCGGAAGGTGAGTAAATAATTATAAAACTCAATTTCTAAACGAATGCGTCATACAGTTAACGGATGAAGCCTTCAAAAGAGTTAATTTGAATGCAGTGGAGAAATTGGAAATTCGATTTGTTCAGTAATGGAGTTGTTAGGAACGGGATGTACGGGTGAAATAGTGCTGTTTTATCACTTCTATTTTTAGTTGGCCTATTCCTTCTTTGACGTTCTGCATTTGCTTTGCGTACGTATTCGTATGCGCGTCAGCTGTTTTTTGTTTTGGTCTAATCGATGATAAACCGACAATCGCCGCTATTTAAAACAACAACAAAACAATGAGAAGCAACAAGTCGAGGTTGTTGCTCTTCTTTTTTTTTTTTGTTATGAACTACATACTTTTTTCTACATTGCTTGCGAAATACATATGTGATTCCCATATCAGGCTTTAGGCCATTAAATTCAAACGTTAATATAATGAGTCATAATCAAGAAGTTCTTTTTATTTTGGAACTCGAAGCTGAAATGTTCACATAAGTCAAAATGATTATGAGAACTGTGGACGTCGGCTGTGAACGCTTATATTTCCATAAAATAAAATTTTGAAATGTTCAATGATTAATAGTATCAATTTTCTTCACGAGGAAACTTAATAACGCAAAAAAGCTTTCGAACGATTTCGCCCCTGTAATTATTAAATATTTTCATCGAAAAAAATAGTTCCTAATAATGAAATGTTTCCAAGGTATGAGCAGATATTAAGTTCCAAAAGCTTTGTAGAATCTCTAATTATCCTACTTAAGATCGTTTTAAGTAAAGAGTAAGCGTAGTTATATCAATATCTTCGTTAAATATGCTACCTTTAGACATAATCAAAAAGTATTTAAAATAACATTTGTTGCGTCTAAACAAGTTTTTTAAAATACCTCAACCATCTAAAACTGTATTACAATGTTATATGTAAAATCTAAACTTTTAAGCGGTCAAAATCATAGTAGTGTTACACGTTATAGGGTATATTTTAAAGCATTTTTATTTAGGTTGATTTAAATGTTTTTTTTATACATTGGCTATCAATTAACTACTTATTATGCATTAATTTAGTATTTAGCAGCCTTTACGGATTCCCATAACTGCAAATGATTTGTAGGATAACAGTCAGATCCCGACTTCTTTACATCAGCCCACGAAATTTCTATCGGGTTATGTCAGGCCATTCAATAATATTTACTCGGTTGTCTCCAAACCACTTCTTTGCCAAGCTTGCTAGTATGCTTCGCATCTTTGTCCTGTTGAAAGGTCCAAATCAATGGCAATTCCTCGCTAGCATATGGGAACTTGGCCTCCTGCATGTTTGGGCGTATTGGACAGCGTTCATGGTCTCCTTGATAAAAAGAATGGGCGACACGTAATCATATGACCACATGTTGTTTAGTCAGCAACGCTACTTTTCTGAGGCTCCGAGCTAACAAATCGTTTACCCATAAGCGCAATTTATTTTTCTTGGCATCACTACATATATAATGATCAAAATTTCCACATTATAAAACAAAATACTGATAACAGAAATAGTTCTTACCGATTCTTTAATTTTTTACTCCCAAAAACAAATAGTAAGTCAAGTCAATACAAATTTATGATGACTTATTATTATGATGAATTAGCAAAATCACTACTAAGATTTTGACCGCAACTGTATGTCTCTTAGATTGCTCTTTGGAAAATGCGAAGACCTACTCCTCTACCCTTAGGACCTGTACGAAGACATGCATACGTTTATTTTTTTATGAAATTAACTGTGTTATTTTGCATGTAGTAATAAAAAGAAATTATTTATTTGTTTTTAAGAAATTCATTTAATTTTCAATAAAATTACTGTGAAATAAAAACAAGTCTATCAAATATTTTCTAAATATGTTCTAATACAAGTAACTCTTGACCAGTATCACGTTCTTACCAAGGAATAACACTTTAACTTCCAGAAATTATAATTTAGACAATCAATTATATTTGATACTCCTATTACTCTTACTAATAAATTTATATCCGTTTAACCGTGAACTCATTTCCAACACAAACGACAAAGTCAAGTTTACAAATAATCTGTGTAAAGTCTACAAAGGCTTACCAATTCGTTCCGACCTGCAACAATGTAGAGCAAATTGAATCAAATTATTGTAAATTTGTAAATATGAATATATGCCACCCAGAGTGTAAGCTATGACGGCGCTTAATCCATGGCATCCCAATGTCAAAGCTGCCGGCAGACAATAGCACTCCCGCCAAACTCAGTCAAAACAAAACGACAACAAAACAGAATGAAATAATAACCCCAATACAACCAGAAAACACCCACACAGTATCAACAATAGAACCTTTTCCTCGAGACACCATTTTCATTTTCAATTGTAGCTGACAGTATAATAATGTCACAAATGCCACAACAATACTCCAAACGAGCGTACATATATAGGAATATACCCATGTTTACCTGTATGCAGTTACACATGCATTTATGTGCTTACAAGTAGATACATACATACGTGTATGTAGCAAGTGTTTATCTATTTATTATCAGACATGCCACTCAAATTTGAATGCAATTAAGTTTTGAATGATTTACAATTGAAGACAAAAGGCGGAGTCTAAATTGTTTGGTTGTCCTTCGAACAATGCCATAATGCGCCTTGATAAATCCCATGGTGGCCAAGACCAAGCACTTTTCTGCCATTGCCAATGGGGTTGATGATGAATACGTATAACTTGAATTTATTGTCGCGGCAGCCACCGTCAATTGCCACCTAAAAAACAACCAATAAATGTAGCATAAATTACATTTTTATTAAATGTCTATATTTACCCGCATACACACAAACATACACAAGTGCACACAAGTCTCAATTGTAGCTGAACACCGGCGTGTAGAGGATGATGTCAGACAATTATAAAGAATTATCACCAACAGCCTGTTGTAGGCGGATCTCGGAATGAACACAATTGCGATGGAAGTTATAATGAATGAATGAATGAGTTTTAAATGCATCGATCCAACTAATAAAAAATGTAATGATTGTATGATTGTTATACATATAAGAACATTTGAATATGAATAAGTACACTTTTGACTCCTACGAGAGAGCCCCGGCTCAAGCAGACATATTCCCTGACAAGTGTGGCATTATAGATGTTATGAGCCACATACGGGCATATGCACCGTGTACAAATGGGTTGTCTACTAAATTAATTTGAAAATAAGCAAAAAATAATATGATTTTTATTTTTTATTTAACATATCAGCATGTATACAAATGTACGTAATATGTTTGAATGTACTCCATAAACAAAAATGCCACATTTATTTGACTTCAATTTTGTAGGTGCGCCATCGTCGTCAAAAACTCTGGCAGTTTTAAGAACGTTTTCATATCCTAAAGTCTGTTGACACCATACATATTTATACATAAATGTTTCAAAAATTTATGAAATTGATATTGTCTGCTGTTTATTGCAGGCAATAACAATGTTAATAACGATAACCATGACAATAAGTATGAAATGAGAAATTATACGCATTTTGTATGTGGGAAAATTGCTGAAGTCGATAAGCGAATTTTAAGGGGCACATCTAGTATAATGGCCCAAAAAAGAGGGGATTTTTGGGAATTTTTATTAAAAAAAAAATACGTTATCAATTATTTCAAAATTTTAAGAATATATTTATACATGTTTCAAGAATGTAGAGTGAAATTTTTGAAGAAAAATATTAAATGTTTTTTAAGTTATAGTCGATTTCCAGCGGCGCAAAAAAAAAGGTCCTTCATTGCTGCAGTGATTCCGGCCTTCTCCGTGGATGAAATCTAAAAAAAAAAACTAGTTAAACTAGATAATCTTATCTGTACATTGACCTACGTTAAAAAAATCAGAAATTGGCAACATGGCGTTTTAAAAAAAATAGTCGAATTTTACCCAAAATTTTGGTCGTTTTTGGCCTGCCAAAATTTGATTTTTCGATCAGATCAAAAATCGATAGGTCATTGTACGGAGAACTATATATAGAACATGTAAAAAAAATCGATAGTGATCGGATCATTTGTTTTTGAGTAATCACTGCAGCAAATTCGGAAAATGCTGTTTCGAGAAAAACGCGTTTAAAGATAAAATGATCGTTTCCACTGTTATAAGTGACCATATAATTCACCTTCCTCTTCTTCGAAAACAGCGATTCGAACTCTCGCAGGTCCATCTACCACTCCCATTACATTAAATATCTTCAAAATTGACGAATAACCGTCAGTAAATATTGCAGTTGCAAAATTATTTGACAATTCAATAGTTTTGAAGCCATTATGAAGATGCTGAGGTGAAAAGTGCCAAAGTAAACCGTTGTAGCTTTCATTGTTGTTCTGAGTATTGTTACCTTAACATCTATCAAGCAATTCATATCGAGATAAGTCTTCATAAATGTACTAGTGTCTCCTTCAGCTTCCTGAGAGCCAACAATAGAAACCGGAATCGTGTTATAGGGGGAGGGAGAAGAGACAGTAGACTCTGAACAATACCTCAGGTACGTCTCGTAGATAATGAGACTCTCTAGCAGCCTAGCGACTGCTCTTTAAATTGCTATAACTCAAAAACTATTTGAGATATCGATTTAATTTTAATTTTAATACGTTATTTTTAAAGGTGTAATCTACCGAAATATGAAAAAAAGATCGATTCTTTTGAAATTTCACACTAGGTGTGTCCCTTAAGAGAAATATACAAAATGATTATTCATTTTAATTATAAAAAATCTATCGCTAAACAAAGAATACATTGCATAGCAAGGCATATTATTTATATTGTAATAGACTACTATTAATTATTGCATACATGTACATATGTATTCTTACGCGATTATAGCCGAATCAACGGCAACACGCCATTCGTTGCTTCTCTTTGCTGTTTGGCGTCAATTGCAAATACCAAGTAAAACCACCTGATTGTCCCAACGGAGGGAAACTTGCAAAACTTTCCTCCGAAAACATCATCAGATATCGACAGCCATGGGGGACGTCGAAGTTATAACTGTTACAGTCAATGGTAGATTTACCCATTCCAAAGATACACTGATGAAGTCAGTTTGTTAACGGTGGACTTTACACACATAAAACGCTCGATAGGACCTTATATGTAGGAGGATTATCCCACACATCGTGGAGTCTCAACCAAGCCAACCAAGTTCTGCACCTAGTCAACTCTTCACCTCCATATTAGAATAGCTTTGCCGGCATCCATCGGCTACAACCTCTTTGTGGTTCTCTAAAGTGGCAATTGATATTCCAACCTTGTCATAGTCGACTTCCATCGTCATCGCTTGGGGTTTCGGGCTTGCCATCTCTTGGTGTTGCCAAAGAAGTATTCGCTCCATACAGCAAGTTTACTCTGGTCATCGGTCACTAGATTATTACCTTGATTCCTATACAAGGATGCTCCAGTCTTGAAATCTTCTGTGAGTCCCCGCATTTTTTCATTAGTTTACCAGCCATATTCTCAAACTCTTCATACTCACCCATTTCGCCTCTCAGAAAGCAGGTAGTGCGCCGAGTAGAAAACCGTTCAGCTGTTTGTGGCGATTGCGGCTTATCGACGTCAAACTTTCCTTTTGTTTGTTGACTTACGTTCTGTGATATACAAGGCGGGGCGTATCCGGGTCGAGACTGGAGGAAGACATGTCACAATGTGATCGATGTGGTGGGGTTGTGAGTTTTTCGATTTGGAGATAGCCTAGTTATTTCACGTATTTTCTTTTGTGGAAATCTAGTACTACAGACAACCCTATTTCGGGCGAATTCGATCAGTCTCAACCCATATCTATGTATATTTAAAGAGAATTACAATATTATTTATCAATTTCAAAAATAGTCGTCTCTTTGTAAATGCATAATTAAAAAAAAATAATAGTTTTACCTCTGAGCAATTCAGATGCATTTTACTTGATCGATCAACAATTCAGATATAAATCACGTTAATTTATCATTTACTTATTACAACACAACATCTTCATATAAATTTCCTTCCGAAAGCGACGATTAATTATAAAAGTATGTGCTTAATATTTATCACACAATTCCCGATACTTTGACCAATTCAACACCGTTATTATATACCTTATATAATGTATTTTTGTAAACATTTACAAAACGGATACAATGCTATCTTATAAATATTTGCGTAAACTTGAAAAGTATAGAATTACCAATGTCGTTAAAACATTAATCAACACGAAAACTGGTTGTCTGTAAATGTATAACTGAATCCCTTTAATCGTCTGTATAGTATTTACGTTTAATTTTATTTATGTCTTCATTTATTTATTCTTTTTTATTCTTATTCTCTACCTACGCAGACCGAAGATGAAAATTTGCTTAAGAAATTGACGTCACGTGAACGACGATTCATCAAATTTGCTTCCGTTGAATATCGTGGTCAATTGTATATGACACCACAGGACTTTCTAGACTCTGTAGTGGAGCAGGAACCAAGACGTAAGTGCATTGTTTGTATGAGATTAAAATGCTTAATTCGAAATTAGTATTACTATTTTTTATTAGTATTAACTTAAATGAATGATTGTTAAATTTTATTCCCGTTTCTAGCACGCCTAAAACGTCGCATCTTAAGTGAACAGGACTTGCAGGTTATAAAAGATAATACTCCTCCTCTGAAGAAGGGCTCGAAAATGTTATTTCGAACACTTCGCGATAGAGGTAGCATTCCTTTTTTAAATTAAAAATATATATTTAATTATATCTTATAATTGTAGGCATTGTGTCTTATACGGAGTATCTTTTCCTCTTATCGGTTTTGACTAGTGGGTAACAAGTTCTATGTAATGTTTCCTTAATATAACTATTATTACTTATAGAACCCATTTCCGGTTTTCGTATCGCTTTCAATATGTTCGACACCGATGGCAACCATCGCGTTGAGAAAGACGAATTTTTAGTGGTAAGTAAAATGATATAAATAATTGTCAACAGAGGATGCTAAACTACTTTTGTACGTATGCAAATGAAACAAGCTCACTCTTTAACATTAATTTTTTTAATCATTTCCTTTTATATTATACGTATATTTAATATGTTTATAATTTACTTATCACGTCATTTCTTTAACTTTTTACCTATTCTGCTTAAATCTGTTATTTCCTTATTTTATTTTTGTTTTTTATTCAGATTTTAAAAATTTTGGGTGGCACTTTCAAACAGTCTAAAGTCGATGAACAAACACGCAAGCTTGTAAGCATTTTATTAGTTTCCGAAAAAAGAAAACTAAATACCTAATATAAACATAGTTGCCTCTTTGTAAATGCATAAAATGTTTATTATCAGTAGTAGTACTTTTTATAAGTTTTCGATAGCCTGCAGGAAGGAAGCAGTTTGAACCTCTAAATGATCAGTTACTCTCAATTGCTTTAAAACAGCGATAATTCAGTTTAATATTACAATTTATTTATATATTTTCTTCTGCTGTTTATTTTTTATTTATTTATTAATTTATTTTAATTTAGTTGTTAAGTCTAATTTGGACAGCAGAAACTGCGGAGGCGCTATTTAGGAAAGACATAAGCAAATCAAAAGATCAAAATGTAAGTCATTTTTTCGAAAGGCTTTAATTTCCGACGTTTTTTATTGCCGTTCTGTTAAATCTTCACTTTGGTGATCATTTGAAATTCGGCATTTTTAATTCTACACAGTTGGAGTTTGTAAAAGCTGATAGAAATATACACATACAATATTTCCGCATTCTCTCGCTTCTGTATTAGTCCCTGCTTAGCGCTAGCCTTGGCAAAACATAAAAATTAAAACAGCTTCACACACAAACAAAAAAACAAGAAGACTTGTTGTGTAAGTACTTAAATATAAGTTTTTTTGCTGAAAACTTACTTACCGAGGTTCCAGTTCGTTCAGCATATACTCTGTTTTTTTTTTTAATATTTTTTTTTTTTAACTTTTATACTTCAGAAAATTTAATTATTAATTTTTTATTTAACTTTACTTTTGGGACATTAACTTTAGTTGTATTATTGTCAGTTTATTTTGTTTTCTCTTTTTACTGTTATCAGTTAATTTGTGTGTTTGTTAATCATTCCATGTGCGCTTTCTTTATTAATCGCATGAAATTCAATTATGTCTATATATTCACTAACCCGCTTGCAAAAGATGGAACGAATTTTCAGTGGGGTATGGAAAGGTAAAAGAGGTCCAAAGAATGATAAGGATACAAGTTCAGCTACAGAGGATGCTATTAAACGTGCGCAGGTAGGGTACTTTTATTCCTATTAAATAAACTGATGCGGAATATAAAAATATTTATGGTTTAAAAAGTGAAAAAAATCATTATCATTTTTTACGTGTGGATATTTCCACTACGTTAGATATATTTTGAAATCTTTTTTTAAATAAAGAAAAGTAAAATATTTTATTCAATTTTTTTTGTGTTTAAAGTATGTGTATGTACATTTGAAAAAGAGATTCTGAAATTTTCCAAGGCATTCAAGAACTTTTGACAACCGATAAAATGAAATTTATTTCCATGCATTTGAGACCAAACTTTTAGACTACCTCTCAGCAGCATGACACATTCCTTTTGTAAATTTCGGAAACTTAGTTTTTTAATTGCATGACATACATACAAATATTTTTTTAACGTTACCAATTCGTTTTTTAAACCCAATCAACGACCAATCCCACTGACATCTCTATGAATATTTCCACAGGATGACTACATTGATGATGAAGAAGGTCTGCAGCGCAAACACCGCATCGACACGACACTTCAAATACATTTATTCGGCAAGAAAGGTAATCAGGATCTCAACTACGATGGCTTCTACAAGTTCATGGACAACTTGCAGACCGAAGTACTTGAATTGGAGTTCAATGAATTCTCGAAAGGCAATGTTGCGATTACTGAAAACGATTTTGCCAAAATTCTACTACGTTACACATATTTGAATGCCGAGGAATATGATGCATACTTGGAGCGTTTAATGGATCGCGTTAAGGTGGAGCGTGGCATCACTTTCGAGGAGTTTCGTGATTTTTGTCGTTTCCTCAATAATTTGGAGGACTTCGCCATCGCTATGCGCATGTACACGTTGGCTGACCGCGCCATTTCGCAAAGTATATATATTTTTTTTAATTGTAATAAAGGTTTCACATTTCCCTACTCGCAGGTGAATTTTCGCGCGCCGTCAAAATCTGCACTGGTTTCAGTCTCAGCAAACATTTGATTGACACAGTTTTCGCCATTTTCGATGACAACGGCGATGGTATGCTGTCGTACCGCGAATTTATTGCAATTATGAAGGATCGTGTGCATCGTGGCTTCAAAGTAAGTCATTGGAAAATTGTTGAATACAATGCCGTTAATGATAAATATATCGAGGCGGCTAATCCGCTGTTTTCGGTGTGGCGACAACGTGTCTGCCGACGATTAGACCATTTCAAGGAGAAAGATTTTTTCTCGTAAATTAAAATTATTTAAAATTTTTTTTTGAAAGCTGGCTTTATAAGTTACCAGAAATCAATGTAATTGAGTTGTGTTACTTTTCGTCTATTTAACCTATCAGTTTTTTTTTTACTTTGAATGTGCCATCGAATAATTTATATTTATATCTATAGTTCATATGCTGCATATACAACGATTTGATTAAGCTTAATTATGAGGATTTATTTTTTACGCTAGATTTTCCTTCTCTAATTACTATCATGTATTTTATTAGCATACCGTTGATATTTTAAATTTTTTACAATACACCAAATTTTATTTTTTAATATTGTTTTCTTTTATTAAAGAGTTTATACATAAATGTATTTAAAATTTAACGAAATCAACATTGATTTGTTGTAATATGATAATTTTATCGAAAAGGCTTTGGCCTGAAACTAAAAACAGGTGCCTATAACTGAAAATATCTTGCTTTAAACAGTTTTCATTACTATACTACACCTTCTTTAAATTTGTCCAAATACTAGTTAATAAAAAACATCACCTATATAATTATAAAAACAACTATTTAAATGTTACCTTAGTTGCATTATATAATATTTTAAAATGTCTGCATATTTCACTAACTCGCAACTCATTTGTTCAATTAATTACGTAACATAAAATATTTAATCATTGTGCTTGCTTGTTTGATTTTTCCTCATAATTTTCAAGTTTATTAATGTACACGAATAAAAAATGTAATAACAGTAAAAACGCATTAATTGTTTTATTTGTCTTTTATGTTTTTTCATTTTTATTTTTTAAATTTTAACACATTTACCAAGTTTTATGTTTTATTATAGCAATTCTTTTCTTAACTTTCGTACACACAAAATAAAATTTCATCAATTTTATCTTCTAACAAAAGTGATGATCAGCTGAAAGTCTTCTCATAAAGTATCTATTTTAACTGGAAATTTAACTTTACTATCATTGAATTGTGTGAATTTCATACTCTTACTTACTTTCCCTCTTAACTTACATATTATACATACAATTGAAACTTTATAACCACAAAAGCTAACTTCTGCCGAGTTAGTTAATGAGACTGTTCAATCCCTTGATCGAGGTTTACCAGGTTTAAAGACTCACTCATAAAGTCCAATCACTTTGTTGACGGTGGGATTTTGTCTTTCACACAAAACGCTAGATTGGCCTTCATATACGATGTTAAGGAGGCTTATCAAAAGGTAGTAAATTGGACTGCGCAAAAATGGGTTCCAATCGTCGGACCAACCATCCAACCAAATTCTGCTGCTATTGGTTTTAAATCTGGCAATTATCTGTTTTATTGTCATCGATTGGGAAATCGGGCTCGCCATCAACTGATGTTGCTCTTTCACTGCCATTCCGAAGGCTGGAAGAGTGTTCTCTCTATAAATTCAGTATACACTGGGCATCAGTCGCTAGATAGCCTCTCTGTGTCCTACACAAGTTTACTAGAATTTCCTTATTAAAGAAAATAATATAATAAAAAAGCTCTTAACTTTCGATCATAGCATAATCCAACCTAAGCTGTTTGTAGAAAATTCCAAAGGATTGCATTTTTATTTTCGATTTTTCCAAAAAAACTTATTTTTAACAAGCTCTTATCATACGAAACATTCAAACCTTTTCTTCGAAGTAAAATTTTATCAGTTACAAATGTTTTTTTACGTAAACATGATTTTAAAGCAGTTTTGGTTAACCACACATACTTCATCTGGAGTAAATCTTAGAACAGATGATTGATCAGCAGTTAAAATATGTTATGTTTGAAAATAAAATTAAACATTTTCCTCTTACAGTCCAGCGCCAAATCGGAGGGCTGGGACGCCTTCCGCCACTGTATGAAACATGAAATGAAGCAAACGCAGTCAAAATAGAAATAAAAGCCGCATAACGCATAAAAAGCTCAACATCGAATAAAACTGAAACATTTATTTATTAAAAAAACGCAAAGGAATTGCAGAAAATACCAGCGGCTAAATTATTTTATCATAGTTTTTAAAAACTAAACCTAAAACTGTAGATCTGCTTACGCCATAAACAACTGTATTAAAAGAAGAAAAATCGATTTAAAAAATTCTCGTACCATAAGAGCTGAACATACACAGCAGCGTGTTTAGCAAGTGTGTACAATATACATATGTACATATATGTATAAGGAAACCGTTTTTATTTGTAAATTATATGCATTTCAAATACTTATTTTTTATTTATCAAATTTAAGTAATTTTATTGCAGTGTAAATTGTTAAGTTAGTAAATTATCTAATCGTAAAAATATGAAAATGTTTATTAAACTGCTGTCAGACATATGTCTCTCATGTGTATCTTTGTATGTATGTTTATTGATTTATTTGCTTTACCGCAATGTTATGTTTGTTAACTTAAATAATTGTTTGTGTTGTTTCATGTTATTTTTGCTAACTAATTTTAGTTACGTTTATGTTATTATTTATTTGTTATGTGAAAATCCAAATATGTACATAATATTTATCGTGTCAAAAATCAGTTGTTAAAAATTGAAAAATAAAATAAGACGGGATAGTAAAAAATAAAACAATTGTTTCACTAAACTTTATTTTTTATTTTATGATAGTAAATACACGCATAAAAATAGATATTTGGTTACAATTGTCAGGAATAATTTTCTTTAATAAACTTAGGGTACTTTTAAAAATAATAATTAATTGCACATTACAAAAAATAGTGCAAATGTAGAGAGGAATTTGTTATTATTTTACAATTTAAATTTTTTATTTCTATACTTAATAATCGCAAGCGTTAAAACAGAAATTAACTTCAAAGTAGTAATGTCTTAATTAACAATAAGGTTTTAACTAATATAAAAAATAGCAATAATGGAATTCGATAGTGTGTTTGAAAACTCTACCACGCAATAAACACAACGATATACAAGAATATTTTGAGTTCAATATAAAATAATTTGAGTTTTGTTTAAACGCTTGCAAGCGAAATAAAGCACTTATTCATTAAATGTACGTACATTTTTTTATGTTTTACAATATATATTTTATCACAGACAAATTACGTGCATTTGACAGACACCTTTTTAAGATACAACCACAATATATTTGCAATTTCCAAAAATATGAAATAATTGCTGCCAAATTTAAAGAATCATTTTTACGCGAGAGATTATTTTAGAGGTGAACTGAAAGCAAAATGAAATTTTTGTTGGTATCAGTGTTTGCAATTCCCTGAAAAGTTATTAATTTTATTTCTTTTAATAATTGGAATTTAAAAAATTCATAAATATTCTATGAATTTAAATGACATTATATTACTGTTTGAAAATAAAAATTTTAAATTAATTACAGCAATTATGCCAATTCCGTAGACTGGATTCTAACAAAGTTTCATTGTTTCTATTTTTTTTTTATATACATCACGCACTTCATATTGGATATTAAGTGATAATGTGTGTATAAATCTGAAATTTCTTTAACTACACAAATACTTTGGCGCGTAGGAATAAGGGAAAAGAGCCGTATAATGTTTTACAAATGAACGCATATTACTCTCTAAGTAACGAAAATAAAAAAGAAAAACATCGCTAAAAAATCCGCTCGGAGCAAATTTTTTCGTTAAGTAAAACCTAATATAAAGGTAGTTTCTGCCAAAGGGTTAAAGTTTGCACTGTACAAGAAAAATAGAATTAAAAACAAAACGTCATTGTAGTAAAAAGTTTCCTTAAAATTACTATGAATATTAAACTAAACCTGTAAATACCCCATAAATAAATTTTTTCATATAAAAGTATACCAAGTTGGCGTATCTACGAGGTATTTATTCGTTTAGCTAAGTACTCATGTTATTACTTATTAACTACAAATATATTTATTTAATCAAAATATATATATTTTTTTTTACTTTTCACTCAATCTTCTTCGGCCTGCTTACCAGGTAATGTCCACGTGACACTTTTTTCTTTGTTAGCATTGTTGTAATTACGACTTGCCGACTTGCCATAATTTCGCCGAAATTTGAAATTTGCAAACACGTCACGCCTATTAGAGGCATCTTCATCTTCCCCCTCAGCACTCGGTACATCCAAATATCTTTTCAAACCAATGCCAACTGCTTCACCTTCTACGGTCTTACGGAAATTGTAAATACCTTTGCGTTGCTTTAATTGGTTCTGCTGCTTTTCGGGTGTGCGCGGCAGACGTTTCGGACTGCCGCTACCGTCCTTACCGCCCAGCGCCGCAGTTTGCTTCAACAAATGTTTCGGATCATTTTGCAGTGATGGGAAAAGATTGTCGTCCGCATCGAAATACCATGGGCGGCTAAATTTATAATCGGCATTGTAATAGTGTCTGAAGATGGGCTCCTCAGCGCAAATGCTAAAAGCATGATAGGCGTGTGATATTAATTCAGGGAATTTATTTATCCAATAGTTGGTAAAATCATTCGGCAAACAACCAAGCTTTTGCTGCACTTCGGATGAGAGTTCGTGGTAGTGATGTTTCTAGCGTTGAATGTACAAAAGTTAATACTTTTACCTTCTATTAATATGTTTTTATTTGGAGGAACTCACTTTATTCCGCAACGCACGCAGCAGATCACGCACACTAGCGCCCATATAACCACGATACTTGCGCAGATCTTCTGTTATGAGCGGATCAACATGTGCGTTCCAATCTCCACGCACAATGCAACGACCGTTTTTCTCTAACGACTTCAACGGTTCTACATGGAACTGCAGCTTCTCAACACGGTCACTCACGTCCTGCAAAAAGGCCAATATCTTTTGGTTATTCCAGAAAACCGGATGTGCGCTTATGCAACGCGCCAATGGTCGACTCTGAGCATCTTTGTGTATCATATCCGTAATAAGTTGTTCAGCAAGAATCTATAAAATATGAAATGCATTTATACCAAAATTTGTTTGGATTTAAAATTTCTTTATATCGGTTTTCATAAATGCGAGGTGGTATTACTACTTGTATAGGATGTTTGAAAATACCTAAAAGACAAGGGAAAGTCAAAGCATAATCGATTTCAGATTGGCAAGATCAATTGGTATGGTATTCTACTAAGCATGACTGTTTGAACTAGACCGAATTTGATATTTTGAAGTATATTTCAATTCAGATTAAAGAACTCATTCATAAAAGCCATTGGCATATTTTGTTTTTAATTTTTGTCTTCTTTCTCTGTACTCACAAATTTGCTTGCCTCTGCCGTTATGCACCCTTCATCCTCCGCGTCTACCTTGAGCTTACACAAATTGTAATCATGAGTGAGTATATTGTGCTGGCGCTTTAGCGCTTCCCCAAACGCATGATGTCCTGCAGACAGCACATAATAGTAGACGCACCCAAGTGAGAAAACGTCTACCGATGTTGTCTGTACAAAGGTAAAGATTAAACATTTTCGATTATACAAGCTATTCATTTGGAACACCACTTCTAACTCACCGTACGTTGGCCACGCATCATTTCGGGTGCTATCCAGCCATCTGTGCCAGTAACGCCGGATCGACGCGAAAAGCTGGTCTTGCCAAAATTCAATTTTTTGCATAAGCCAAAATCGGATATCATTACACGGACTGTTCCATTCACATCGGGCAATGAGAGCAAAACGTTTTGTGGCTTGATATCGCGATGCACTGATAGAGAGATAAAATGGATTTATTATTGAGAACATTTTTGGCATTGTTTAAAATAATTTTGTGGCCCTATGCACAATTTACCGATATTTAATGAATGTAGATGACTAAGACCGGCCGCTGCTTGACGCAAAACCTCCCAGACGTTTATTTGAGCACGCAAGTCCATGCACCGTTCACCCTCGGTATATTCTTGCAACGTCGCCGCACATAGCTCCACTGCAATGTAACGAAATTGGCGATCCTGCTCAGTGCAGAAATAACGCACAACATTCTCGTGTGCGTCGCTTTCGCGCAACAGTGCAACCTCCCGATCGGCAAACGTAAAGCATTCGGGCAGCAGCCTCTTTACCGCTACTGAGCGCTCTTCAAATGTACCGCGAAATACAAAAGTACCTTCACAACCTTTACCCAACACTTCGTTCGAGTTGAATGAAATTTTACCCACACGTATATTCCCATCACCCAGATCAATAAGGTCCAAGCCGCTAACATTACTGCTGCCGCTGCCACTCTTATTGGTGGACGAATAAGTTTTTGAACCATTTTCACTTTGATTTTTGAGCTCACGCATTGAGCTGCACATATACCAAAACATGGCTATCATAGTCAAAACCAAAACAATAAGTATCTGGTGCACTTGACCACTGGGATGTTCCATGAACCATTCATTGAAGAGCTTATGTAATTTATTACCATTTGCTATAATTATTCGTTTGGTTTTATTTAATGCATTGCCCGATTCTATTTGCATTTCAATTACTGGCTCAGTTTGTATGCCTATTTCGGCGGAATTCTTTTCATTGCTTGTGCCGGTTAGTATGCTGAAACCATTTGTGCCCATAGTGGTAACATCGGGAAAATGATTGATGGTGGCCAAACCATTAATGTTGTCACCTTTCGAAGAAGATATTTCTAAATTACTGTCACTGGGCATATTGTAATGCCCAATCACTATGCCGGTATTTTGGGGTAAAACATCATCGATATACACCATTTTGGGATCTGTCTCCTCTCCTGAGTTAGGACCGTCCAAAAGTTTTATTGGAGGACTTGCTGAAATACGTGGCGTGTCTTTATCAACCAATGAGGGCAATGCGTACAAGCCATGGCGATGCTCACCCACATATAAAGATTGGCTGAAATTGTAAAATGATTATTAAATGAGATTTTAAATTATAAAAAATTCTAGTAATGAGATTAAGTTAAATTAAAACTTAAGTATTTTTATTTATAAACAAAAACTCACAACAATTTGATGGTATTGACATTGCCTGTTTTGGACTCTTCTAATATCGACTCAAAAGCCTCATCGGAGACAGTAGTAAAGGGCACGCTGAGCAAGCCCTCTGAGCCGAGTAGAAATGCAGCCACCACAGGACTTGTTAAGTCGTGCTTCCACAAAAATTTGCCATTCTTACGGTCCAATGTTACGATATTACCATTCGATGTAGTGGTTAAATGCAGATACTCTACAAAATAAATAAATATAATAAATATCTATACATCAATATATTACAAGCCATTTCCAACCTACCATACTCTTTCGATATATCTGGCGTCATTGTGTGCGCACTGTAATCATAAAAGGTAATATTCCAAGGTTTAACATTTTTTCCTTTCGCCAAACTGTCGTACATTAAGACAGTGTACTTCGTGCGTCCTAAATAAATTGTGCCTGCTCCATTGTGCGCAGACTTTTCCTCATTCTCTTCGTTGCTCTCATTTACATCAAAGCTACCCATACCGAATCCCATAACGGTTTCACGTTTACCCGACTTGGGATCTACCATAAACCAAGTGTCACTCTTCTTCCCAGAATAAAACATGCCATCGGAGGAACGGCATGGTGCACTCGCTACCAGTTGTGGTATAGTATACGGTAATTTCTTCAGGTTACCCATATCACTGAGCTGATAAATACTGCCATCACGCGGATCTGGTAGATACTGTGATTCCGCCACGTTTTGATCTTGATGTGCGCGAATGGGCGGATCTGTAAAGGAAAATTTAAGTTATTACAATTTAAAAAAAAATTGAACTAGAAATATATGTATCTACTATGTATTTCAAAGGCATATAATTTTCAGTTTACATAGATAAAGACAATATTATAATTGCATTTATTATAGGTTACCATTTCCATATTGTCACGAATATGATATGAGAAACTTGGTCTGAAGTGTGTGAATACCACATAGATTGTTTCAACAATTTCACAAAATTATGGTTCTCTATAACAGTGAAGTCAAGAATAATTTAATAGTTCAGCGTGTTAGGGATTGTCATTTATGCACTATTTAAAATAATATCTACTGGTTAACTCGTTACTGAAATCCAATTTATATGTATTGGAACATGAAAACAAAGAGAAAATGAATATGATGAACTCGTTCATAGATCCAACTCTTTATAATAGTGAAAGCATACCCAATTACATATGTACATATATATGTATATATCATCACCAAATAAATTTCTTCTAATCATTATAGCTCTCGCGTGGTGAAAGGTCAATGCAATATAAGTCTAAGTGAAAAAGCCACATCTAAGTCTTATACATATTAATATGTATATTACATTTAGAATACGTATGGTTGCATTTTTGATAGCGAAATTTCTTAACTAGAATTTATTATATTACACATGTGGGAGTTTTGCCACGCATATTGAGTATGTCAGTTGTATCGTTCCGTATGCTATATGTGCGCATACGGATAGATATGTATATGTATATAGCATATTTATGTAAATTTATGATGTTATTTGAAAGATATTTAGTTTGAGTTAGTTAATACACATACATATTAACACTTTTAATCATTTTTGATGTGGCAGATCTTTTTGCAAATTGACTAATGCAAACGCAAGAAATATATATGTGTGTGTATAATAAACACATGATACTTTAATAAGATATTCAACCACACGAACGCTCGAGAATATAGCAGACCTACAAATAATAGTGACAATACGCTACATATAAATTTATAGCTTTAAAGCTTATGTCGGGAGCATCTTCATATTTTACATTTGTTATTGTTTATTGTTTTTTATTTCTTGTTATCTTTTCTGTTCTTTTGTGCTGTGTTTAACTTTTTGTTTATTATTAATTATATAATATACTTAAAATGCTTTTATTTCCTGCCTTACATTTTACCTAGTACGATTATGGTTTAGTATCATTATAACAACAAATGTATAATGCGGTGTGTGGTGCATATTTGTGTATATGTATGTGTATACATATATGCTTAATTCTTATCAGTGTTTTTATACATTGTACAACAGTGCTATCAATTGAGCAAATTTAAGGAAACTTCTACACATATTTCACACATTTAATGTGGAAATAGTAGTAGTAGAAAAATTGCTTGGAAATAATTTTTTCAACGCAATCTAATATCTGCAATGCACATATACGTATGAATGTATTCAATTAGAATTATTGAAGATCTGTTTTTCTGATTTCTTGGCTAGACAAACTGAAAAACGATAGCCAATAACATTTTTCATATAAGAAATATGCACAAAACAGAGAAATAATAAAATGCTTTTATTGATTGAGAAATTCAGACCATCGATTTGTTATATATATGTCAGCGCAATTTTCTGAATATGATTAGTCCGTTAATTTTGTTTTCTTCCAAAAAAAAAAAGCTTTTCGTGAAAATTATTTTCACAGCAAAATAGTAAAGGCCGTTTCAGTCTTTTGTACTCACACCAAAAAAAAAAAAAAAAAAAAAAACGAAAACAAAAATACGTTTTAATTGTGCGAAAATGCCAGCTGGTCAAAGCGTAGTTCTAGCAAAAATATAAAAAATGTAAATAAATTATATTGCGGGTAACACAGGATTTGTACGTTTTAAAGTTGTAAAAAATTCCTTATAAGCTTGAAGTATTATCTTAGGTGACACATAAATGTTAAATAATTAGAAAAATCTATATAGAACAAGGTAAAAATTTAAAAGTTATAACGTTTTAACTACACAATTGATTTGAAATATATTAATTACCGTCTGCTATGGTCCAACGTATTTCACTCGTTATTGGATCGATTGCTGTTAATCCGCCCCCCAAAGTCGAGAACACCATCAATGTTTCTTCATCTCGCGCCAATTCAGTGCATGACTATGGGAAAATAATGGAAATATTATTTTAACGTTGTCATTGAGTTAAATAGAAATGGTGGCACCGCATCACAATTATGGTTTTCCCATAACTCAACACAGAAATTCGTGTATTAGCAACACTTACCTCGCGCAGGCGATAAGCTCGTAAATGCTCAGACACAGCTTCATCACTTGTCACATTATTATTTTGATTTTCCTGTGATAAATTTTGTGCACTTCTGTACGTTTTTTCATTTCTTACAGCCGGTGCAGTTGCTGTCGCCGATACCACGGCTGATGCAATCAAAACACAAAATCCGAAACAAAATACTACGTTCCATTGCAAACACAATAGCGATTTCGACGATCCCGACTGCACAAACCACCTTCCACCCATCATTTTCTTTATAAAATTTTCCACCAGTTTTTTACACAAGTATCAAAAGCCGTTCTCATCACTTCCATAAATAATAATATGCGTTCATAAATTATTACACATTTTAGAGTTTTTAAGCAGTTTTATTTTTATTTCTTAATAACGGCGTTTTTCAATAGTATTTAATAAAGTTCAGATAAATTCGCCATTGCTGAAACCTAATTGTACATGTCAAATGAATTGTGTTAAGAGGAATGTAAAAAGAGACGATGTGGAAAATATTGAAAGAATCGCGAACATGTAGGGTTGCTGTTGTACTGAACATTAAAATTTCTTTTAACTACAAAACGTTGAAAGAGCTTGAGAAAATAATGGTTTCGGAGCTTTAAATTTGATGTGTTTAGTTTATTTCTTATTTAATCTATTAAAAGCTGATATATACTTCGAAACGAAGAAAAATTTCTGAAAAATCCATAGAAACGCAAATACTTTTCCATTGCAACATTGCATACTGTGACCAGTGCGGAAAGTTGTCCCACCGGCAATATTTTGACTTCATTATTTTGTTTCAAATTCATTGCAAAGTGCATATTCTTTGTTATAAAATAATATAATATAATATTTTTCTGGTGACAAATAAACGTATGTTATCTAATCTCAATTTTGATATATACGTGAAAATGCTAAATATGTTTCTTTAATTTTTTTTTTTCAATTACAAATAAATGTTGGAATCCCCGATTTATTGAATTTTTTACTTTTTCTTTTAGGTACAATAGCCATGAAAATCGCAACTCATGTTGCAATATTTGCCCTTCTTGGTCTGACGTCATATGCCACGGCTGAGGCAAAGAAATTAAAATATCCGCGCAGTTTCATCAATCCTTATCCTCGTTTTCAAGAATATGTTGATGGAGGTGATCCAGGTGATCCGTTATTCCTCACGCCTCTTATACATGACCCGAAGATTCCTAAAGAGCAAGTGCGTCAAAAAGCTGCCGTACTTGGTAGTCAATTTCATAAAGTAGAAAGTTACTCTGGATATTTAACGGTTGATGCAGCCCGCAAGTCGAACATGTTCTTTTGGTATTTCCCTGCTGAAGAAAATCCTGATTATGCTCCGGTGCTTTTGTGGTTACAAGGTGGGCCAGGTGCATCTTCATTATTTGGCTTATTCGCCGAAAATGGACCATTTGAATTTGACGTCCATGGTCATTTGCAAAAGCGCAATTACACTTGGAGCCGCACACACAATCTTATATATATTGACAACCCAGTTGGAACTGGGTTCAGCTTTACCGGCAGCGATGAAGGGTACGCTCGTAATGAGAAAGATGTTGGTCGTAACCTTCATGAGGCCGTAATGCAATTATACGAGCTTTTTGAATGGAAAACTTCCAGTGGTTTTTGGATATCTGGCGAGTCCTATGCCGGTAAATACGTACCAGCATTGGCATACCACATTCACCTTATGCAAAATGCAATTGACACTCGTGTACATATTCCACTGAAAGGTTTAGCTATTGGCAATGGTTTATCTGATCCATTACATCAACTTAAATATGGTGATTACCTCTATCAGTTAGGCTTAATAGATGATCATGGCTTGGAACGATTTCATCTTGAGGAGGAAAAAGGTAAAAAATGCATAGAAAATCATGATATGGATTGCGCATTTGAGGTATTTGACGGTCTAATCAATGGTGATCTTACAAATGGCTCAATTTTTCATAATATTACCGGTTATAATTTTTATTACAACTATTTAAAAACTAATGACGACTTTCCGAATAAAGTGCTTGGGGATTTTATACAATCGTCAATAACGCGCCGTGCAATCCATGTGGGCAATATGACATTTCATGATTTAGATAAAGAAAATAAAGTAGAAAAGTTTCTAAAGAAAGATGTTATGGATACCGTCGCACCATGGATATCTGAACTTCTAAACGATTACATTGTTTGCATTTATAGCGGACAATTGGACATTATCGTAGCATATCCGTTAACGCGCAATTACTTGATGCGTCTAAAATTTGTCGACGCTGATAAATATAAAACAGCGGAGCGTAAAATTTGGCTTGTGGGCGGCGAAATCGCAGGTTATGCTAAACATGCTGGTCGTTTGATTGAAATTATGGTGCGCAACGCTGGACATATGGCCCCAGGTGATCAACCAAAGTGGCTGGAATGGATGATCCATCATTTGACACACTATAATAAGGTTGTATAAATGGAGGTGTAATGAGTACAAAACCACTCATTAAAATATTTTTTTAAATACTTAAACATATTTTTTGTCGAAAATAACTTTCTTTGTTTGTAAGAAACCTTATCTTAACCAAAGAAATGAAGTTGCTAATTAAAAGTAAAACTAAAGGTTTAATTAGAAATGAAATTAGTCTCTTATCTTTGGTAAAAAATGAGAAATCAACAAAACTCGAAGAGTTTTATTCTCACGTACCATACATTATTTAAGTAAAAGACTTCTATGACTATTTATGGGATGATTTCCTTCCTTTTATGGCATTTAATGTGTCATTTCGAAATTTCTATTACAAAATTAACATTTTTTCGTTATCCTTCAATCTTCGACGCTTTCAATGCTCTTTCTAATCCCTTAAATTCGCGTGCCACCAAAAATAATTCGGCAGAGTCCGAACGACTAGATTCCGGCTTTACGCGTTTCACATGTTCATAAAATCGCCCTAAGTCTTTCTCCAATTTCGAAACGTCTCCATTTGCCCATAACTTAACAACTAAGTGGGCGTTTATCGCGGATATTGCCAGTGCAAATCGCAAAACAGAGTAACATAAATTCATTATATTCTCTTGGTCCAACATTCTAACACCTGTTGCGTTTGGTGCCATATCTGAAAGCACACAATTCGCTTGACGTCCTGCTAAAGCCTCACGAAGTCGTTGTTGTGCCGTAGTTGTTGTAAAGTCCATTCCACAGAATACAGTGGCACCCTATCAATACAAGTTGGTAATCAATATTGCATGAATATCCAAACATATAAAGATATTACTGCTTTTAATCGTCATTACTTACCGGAACCGCGTGAAAGTGTAGCAAGTCAATGCTGAAAACTGTACCAGTGTTATTGCTTTCCTTCGCGCGATTGGCATTTGTCCGATCAACTGCTACTTGCGTCCAGCTGCCAGGCGCTGCTCCGCAATCCACTACCGTATCGCCTGGTTTAAGTACTTTAAATCTGTCATCTATTTCGATAAGCTTAAAAGCACTACGGCAGCGCAAATTCATCATCTTCGCTTTCTCAACGTAAGGGTCGGCTAATTGGCGCATAAGCCATTCCTGTGAGCTTTTACTTTTTCCCTTAAGGTTACGTGGTATTTGTTTGGCTAAATAACATTTAGTGTTAAAAAATCTCTTGACCGAATTCGTTGATACATTCATTCTCTAAAAAATTTAAATATCTTATTTCTGTTAACATAACCATCTGAGAAAGCAGCTGATTTTGTTTACATTTTTGAGAATATATTGACGTAAGTGCTTTTCAAACGAAAGGAACAAAGGTAGAATGAAACAATTGGTGATTCAATTTTATGAAAATCACGTCCCTGCAAGAAGGCTTCCGATCATTTGAGGCGACATATGACCGGACTTTATGACGCATATCTCGTCAGCTCATAGAAGGATTATCTTATCACTTTCTTAAGGCCGAAATGTCAAAGGTGATGTGTACATTTGTATACGTGTACGTCATTCTCTCCTCGTTCATTTTTGTCATTCTTGTCGGACAAACCGAACACAGCTGGACGTACAAAAACAGCAGCAGTGCCATACAAGACGAACACAAATGAGCTACACCATTGACGCCCAAGGAAATCAGCTTTGACAAAAACTTTCCCTACTTATATACATACATACGCTTTGACAAAAAATTTTCCCTACATATATACATACATACAAAATTATTAAGACTCAGTCTTTATTTCAATATTTTAACATAGATTAAGTGCATGGTTTATATAGCATACAAAGAAATAATAATAAAATGTAGCAATAAATTCATTTTCAAAAATCTGCAAAATATTATAAGCAAAACCACATATGCAAAAGTCTATAGCAGTGTCATGCGTTGGCGTCCATTCGAGTTAATTTGCTCGTACGATATAGAGTGCCCTTAAATAACGAAATGTAAAAAGCAATGAAAAATGGAGTAACTAATTAATCCAAAATATATTTTATTATTACCATAGCTTGTATATTTTTCACTTCCATCTACTGCGGAGAAAACGATAAAAAATGGCGTTCTACTCGAAAATAAGAAAAAAGAAAATCGGATAATCCGTTCAACTTCATTCTTCTTCAATTTGTATTCACTCAAAAGAGAAAGATAAACAAAAAAATGTGAATATGTGTTGGTTCTGCCCGAAATCGTGTGAGTGTATTGGTGAACCCATCAGCCCGTTCTTGCAGGGGTATTTAACAGTTAAATAAATATATGTATTTACTTAGTTTTATTAATACGAAAATTTAAATATTCCTCTAGACAAAACTCGAATCCATGACCCTCTGCATAATAACACTCGCTGCATAAATAAACATACATGTATTTAACAATTGCTTTTGAGCTTTTAATACTTAGAAAACCTTTATTTTAATATTATAATTACATTTAACTCTACTAAGTACAAATACGTATTCCTGGCAGAGATTTTTAGTATACATAGCCACAAATAGGGTTTACTTATTCCTGTTTTTCCTTCAACCCCGAACTCTGCTCGTATGTCTGCAAAAGAATGTTAATTTGTCCAAGTGAAACTATGATTTTTATATAAGTTTACCTTTCGTGCTATAGTTAGGAGATTATCGAATGTGCTGTTGCCTGTTTGCTTCACCATATCATAAAATACTTTCGTTTCGCTTGTAGTCAGCAGCTCATACGGTGTACCAAATTCCACCGCGCGCCCAGCATCCATCACCAGCACCTTATCGGAGTCTATAACGGTATGCAGGCGATGAGCGATAGTGAGGACTGTGCAATTCTTGAACATATTTCTTATTGTCAGTTGAATGAGTGCGTCCGTCTTCGGATCTACGTTTGCTGTCGCCTCATCAAGCACCAGAATTTTATTCTCACGCAATAAAGCGCGCGCCAGACAAACTAGCTGACGTTGGCCAACGCTAAAATTGCTGCCTCCTTCAGAGATCTTGCTCTGTAAACCACTCGGTAGTTCCGTTACAGCATTTTTTAGTTCAACCTACAAAACAAATATGTATTTGCATTTACTAAAACTTCTATATTATGAAATTTATGTGGCTTACCTCTTCAAGAACACCCCACAATCTGGCATCGGAATATTCGTCGAATGGATCGAGGTTATAACGCATTGTGCCCGAGAATAGCACCGGTTCTTGGGGAATAATTGAGATTTTGCTGCGTAGGTCATGCAAACCCAATTCCTCAATATTTCTCGTATCAATAATGATGGATCCCTCATTGTAGGAAAGTCGAAAAAGGGCATTTATGAGCGAAGATTTGCCTGCTCCCGTACGTCCCACGATGCCTATTTTTTCACATGGTTGTATTTCAAAGCTTAACAAGCTTAGCACACGATCAGATTTAGGATCAGGAAAATAGCGCAGGCTAAGTTCGTCAAACACTATTTTGCCTTGTTCAGGCCAAGCCTTCGGTGGTTTTTTTTTAGGCTGGCTTTCGAGATCCCCCTCAGGCTCAATCTCTTTATATTCTATTATACGTTCCACACTCGTCATGCAATTTTCAAGCTCAGCCGACTGTCGCATTCCCCACTGCACCATGCCGGTTAAACCCATGGCTTGAGTGATGGCCAAACCGACGTCACCACCATTGTCAGGCGAGGAAAATAAAAAGCTCAAAGTAGTAACCGCTAAGTAGAGGGCACAAAAACAGTCCAGCCAGTAGCCAAATGCACGATTTGTTATTAGAAACATATAGTAGCCAGAACTGTGCAAATCTTGGTAATTATCAAATTCACTTATCAACATCTTTTGAGCGCAAAAAGCACGTATTGTCGGTAAGCCATTCAGCGAGGCGCTCAAATGTGAGTAAATTGGCGATCGAGCTGTAAAAATTAAATTTTTAAAATTTACAAAATTTGTATTTTATTTGTATATGTTTCTATTTAGCTTACTAACTGCTTCAATACGTTTGACGTCACGGGAGGTATTCAAATAAAATGAGCGCATTGAAAAGAAAATTAATATCAATACCGCGGTTATCAACAAGTTCAATGGGTTAACAATTGATATGACAACCATGATACCAATTAGGCTCAAAAAATTCTGTATGACATCCATCATAACAAATGGCAATAACTCATCCACTTGGCCTAGATCTTTTGAAAAACGATTTAATATACGCCCGGAAGGATTTGTATGGAAGAAGTACATTGCGGCACGTGTAATGCCCTGATACATTGCATTGTGCAGCTCAGTCGATGAGAGCATGGTTATTGTGTTGAAAAGCAAACTGCGCCCAATTGCAAATAAGATGATGGCCAAAGTGATTCCAAAAAATATGTAAATGTCCACTGGGTCCGTATTGCTGCGCAGCGAGGTATGGTTTACATCTGTATCATTGGCAAAACTGCCATCCAAGCTCTGTGTTGATGTAGTCAATTCCTGTTCGTTTTTATTAACCCTGTGGAGACATAACAACTGTTCAAATACTTATAATCGTACAAACTTTTGGTATTAGCAAACCTACCAAAGCTTGACGTAATAATCGCCTGTGGACCCCAGTAACTGCGCCGCTACGCAAAAGAAAGCTGTTATTGAGAAAAGCACATAACCGCTACTTGCGCCAAAATACTTTTTATAAAGCACCCAACCGATCTTCCCCATTTCTCGTCTTTCTTGCACTTGCAACGGAGAGTCCGCTTCATCAACTAATGATTCCGCGATTGACTCGTTCATCGAACTCATTGTGGCAATACTACTTTGTCGATTAAATTCATTCTGAGAAGACCTTAGCACTGTCGTCTGAACGTTACTTTCCACTTCAGCCTCCTTTTTTGTATCTGGTGCCGTCAGCAAATTAGCAAAATCCAAGCCACTGCTATGCATCGACTCATATGTGCCCACAGCGCTCATCTTACCCTTTTCCATTATAACAATGAGGTCTGCTTGCTCTAGGAATTGCAGCTGATGTGTCACCAAAATAATGATTTTTTCACGCAGATAGCCACGCATGCACTGATCGAAGAGATGGCGACCGACATGTGTGTCTACAGCGCTGAGTGGATCATCCAATAGGTAGACATCAGCTTTACGATATACCGCACGTGCTAAGCTGATACGCGCTTTTTGGCCGCCTGAAAGTGAGGCGCCACGTTCTCCGGCAATCGTCTTGTCACCGTTGGGTAGCAGTTCAAAGTCACGTTCCAAAGCACACTTTTGCACCACAGTCTTATAGCGACGTTTGTCCATTGGCAAGCCGAAGAGTATGTTCTGCCTTATGGTACCGGTGAAAAGCCATGGTTCCTGAGAGGCGTATGAGTGGGAACCGTATACAGTAATGGAACCTGATTCGGTGGGTAATTCCCCAAGGATGGCTTGAATTAAACTAAGAAAGTTGGATATTTAGATGAAGAAATTTGTAAATTATGATTTACCTTGACTTTCCTGAACCCACAGGCCCAATTACAGCTACTAATGTGCGTGGTTTTACATTCAAATTGATGTCATTTAGGGTATATTCCAACAAAGTATTATCCCATTTAGCTTTCAAATCGCGTATTTCAATCCCAGCTGTTTTGTGAGTTAATTCCTGCGCTGATTGTGTTAACTTCATATTCCCATTAGAGTCTTCGCTTTTGTCAGTTATGGTGGAATCGATTGCATTTATCGCCGCTTTATCACCAAATTCTTCATACAAGAGGAACTTCTCTATACGCTTCATAGACACAAGCGTTTCAGCGATTTCTTGAATACCCTTTGGAAATTGCACAACCATGGTGTTTCGCAAAATGCTGTAAAAGGCAGTGATAACGAAAGCTTTTTCTGCGGAGAGGAAGTTTCCTAGGAGCACATACGCCACCAAGCTGACAAAGACGGATAGGCGCGTCATATACAGTGCAAATGATTGCAGTATGCCGCTGATGTAGTTGACTTTGCGGACGGATTTCATTTCCTTGTGGCGAGAAGACTGTACCATCTTACCAAAAGGTTTCTCCCAGGCGTACATCTTGATCACCTGTATTCCCGAAATGATTTCGTTCATCATGCGTATGCGCTCGTCGGTGCACAGTGCACGGCAACGCCAAAAAGTGAGGCTACCCCGATCTATAATTGAACGTACTTGAAGTTAAAGAAAACGACATAAGTATTTACAACTGCAAATATACATACCTCTTTATACATAAGCACGGCCACAACAAAAATCTCTATTGGGCCCACCCATAATACGTGCACGTGCATGATGGACGTGTCCAACCGACCGACATCATTCGATATCAGATTTACTACTTGGCCAATGGTGGTGCCGCCTAGTGCATTTCTATTCAAGCGTAGCGCCTTCCGATAAATCAGATTACAAACGGCGATACGAGCCTTCATGCCAATATGTTGAATGCCCAGCATGTATGGATGCCTTAACAGCACATTCATAGCGTTACTAAGTACAACACCCATGGCGTAGATATATACAGTGTACTCGTCATCTTTGTTCGATTGGTTGGCATAGTAGTCGATTAAACGTCCAAGAAATAATGGCTGAGTGACGCTATATTTTAGGGCGATGATCGTATATATTAGTCCTTTAAAGGTATTCAAATTCATTTTCTTACCGAAGTCCCATTTCCAGCACGAACAGTAAAAGGCCTAAAGATATAAATGGCAACCCAAAAACTCGTATGACTGCCGACAGTAAATTCGGTGCCTTATTTTTGAGCCACTTCTTTTTGATTTCCTCGTTCCAGGCTTTGTTTAATTTAATACCGAGGGTTTCTGAAAAAGTTTGCATGTGAGCAGTGAGAATAGAGAAATCGTTTATACGAGAACACTTTCGAAACTGCCGAGTAAAACGAGAAACTGGAAAAATGCTTATTCCAAAATTCTGCGATCTCTACAAAACTAACCATATAGATTCTGACGAATATAATAGATTTCAAAACACACAGTAACATGTTTTTCGAGAGTCACTTATTTCTGATAAATCTTTGGAGTAAAATAGTTCATACTTCTTCCATAAAAACTACTTAATCATAGGCTGAAAAATCCCGGTCAAAGCGATTTTTATAAAGAGTCCCACAGTAGAACTTTTATGGAACAATTTATTATTGGCCTCAATATCTCTTCAATAGATATTTCTTACCGTTGAACATTGTTTTGAGGTCGCCGATAGTATTCTTTCCTCAAGATAGTCGAACACCTTCCACATCCCAAACTACCGAGGCCATAACATTTCTAGCTGATGTTTGTGCTTTCGGACGATGCTTTGGACGGAGCTCACCAGTTGCCAATCGCTTTGAACTCAGATATTTTCTGGCGTTACCACCTCATTTAGTAGTGGACGACCTTCGGCATCATCGGTGTCTCTACGACCAAGATACAGTGTGCAATTAAAACACGAAATTGTTTTTGATCACTTGTTTTGAAAATAACAAAATCTTAGCACCAGTTTGTAAGATAAGCTTATGACTAGAATATCATGAAATATTAACAGCTTCTTTCGAAGGTTGGTGATAAATGGAAAAGCGTGAAGGCAATAAACTCAGCGCCGTTGCATCAAACATTAAAAAATTTAAAAGTTTCAATCCGTCGCTCTCTGCGTTATCTATCCAACAATTTTCTGGTTTTTCATAAAATTCAATTATCCTTACCTGATTTATGCTCATTTAGTGCTCTGTATAAATCTCTTTCGTCTAACGTTTTTTTGCGTCCTTTGAAAAATATCGGTATAGTAAAGCTATAAATAAGAAGCAATAGGTACATACATACATACACACATATGTATGTTATATACACTGCGCGACAACCGATTAGCACATTCTCTAACCTATCAGTTTAAAGGAAAATAACTCCCTACTCTGAATATGTTTTATGCGGCTTCTATTGTATTTTTCCTTTTATTCTGTATCATTTTCGCTCACTCTAAGTATAACAGTGAGCTCTGGAAGTGTACCGTTATTTTGCTTTACTTTTTTCTTTGAAGTGCGACAAAAATGCATGTATGTTTTTCGCGACAGACGATTAGCACATCTTCGCTTTCATGTCACTTTTTGCGTATAAGCTGCCTTGTTTGGGTGTTTAAGTTTTTTATTTATTTATTGGGACTAATTATCAATAGAATAAAGTAATAATGGGCAAAGGAAAACCGTTGGAAGAGTCTGAAAAAGGCAAAATAAAGGCTTACAGGGAGTGCGGGCACTCTATTCTTCAAATATCAAAAAATATTAAGCGCAGACGTAAGTAATTACTGCATTTTTAAGCAATGAGGATACATATGGGAAAAACATGAAAGGTCGGACAGAAAGGACGACTCAGCCGCGCGCGCTCGGGACTGTGCAAAGAGTTATTTCGAATGCTGAACATATGAAGCATCTAAAATTAAAAAAGAAACACCTCTAAACCAACTTAGAAAGATGCAACGACTCAATTTCTGTCGATCAAATATGACCTGGACTAAGGAGTGGGAGCGTGTAGTCTTTTCAGATGAAAAAAAGTTCAATTCGGAGGGTCCTGACGGCTATGTCTACTACTTTCAGGATCTCAGAAAAGAAGAGCATACATTAGATCGATTGCACAGTCATGCGGGTGGTGTCATGGTGTGGGGAGCTTTAACATACTTTGGCATTATAGAACTGCAATTTTTTACCAGCCGTATGAATGCCATTGCGTACAAAGGTGTACTGAATACGGCTTTCCCTGCAATCAAGGATATTTTTGGACCCTTGAAATAAAAGTTCCAGCAGGACAACGCACCTATCCACACAACGAGGATTGTAAAGTCCTGGATTGATGGTCAAAACGTGGAATTACTGGCTTGGCCGCCATACTCTCCCGACCTAAAAATTGTAGAAAATGTTTGGGGATGGCTGGCACGAAAGGTGTACGAGTCCGGCAGGCAGTATTTAACTGAAGCAGAACTCATTAAAGGAATAAAAAGGTCCTGGGAGGTTGTTTCACTCAATTATATAAAAAAATTATATGACTCCTTACCTCAGCGGATGTACGAAGTCATACTTAACCGTAGAGGCTCAACACATTATTGATTTGTTTTAAAAAAAGTTAAAAATATTTAAATTAATATTAAAAAACAATTTGAATGAAGTTTGAATCCATTTTCTTTTTTTTTTTATTTTAAGTTTTCAAGTGACTGTGCTAATCGGCTGTCGCAAAAATAATAGAGAATTTTGTATGTTATGTTTGTTCATATTAATTTAAAATGTTATTAATAAAGTTAGTATTCTATCTTCTATTAATTTTCGTGTGAAATTATATGTTCTTTTAAAGAGAAAAAATAGATTATTTGAAAAGCTTTTTTAGTTTTCCTGATATTAAGTTTCTAAGACGAGCAGCATAGGGTGTGCTAATCGGTTGTCGCGCAGTGTACATTTGAATTTATTTACTATAAAAAACGAAATGTTTGAATTAAATAATATGAGTTCAAATAAAATATCGCAAGGGTATTTCCGAAATGAGGAAAGGGGCCGTCTAACAAATCGCTACACAAATATTTAAAACACTTTTTCGACACTCTACTGCGGCTGTTAATTAGCTCAATAGTTGGATTGCTTGGTGTCGTCGTTCAACCTGGCTGATTAACACACCTACATACCAAATTACATTCAAATAGGCAGACGGGCAGACAATTGTACGGGCCTGGCTAAATCGATTCAGCTAGCCATTTTGATCATATCGATTTACATATCAATGGGGTATACCTCCGCCTTCTGGTGTTAAGTTAATAAAGTTTAATGTGGTTTTCAAGAAGAAATAAAATACTTATAATCTACTGTTATGGCTGAGAATTTAGTTTTTTCATAAAGATAAGAGTTTACCATAATGTTTTTAAAATAATTTCGGACAACATAGTAATTGACAAGAGCCTGCACATAGCCCCACAAAAATAATACAGCTTGGTTAAATCGCACGATCTTGCACACACCAAAAGATCTCTGCCATAAATTGACTATTTCGTTGAATTTTGTAGTCCTGTGCACCAGTTTAGTATGCGAAACCGATCCATGATTGCTCGAATAACCGACTCTGTTAATTGAACTGAACCATTATTTTGGAACGAATCAAATGCTATCTGATTACAACTGGGACTACTGAGTGAGCGTGAATTGCCTGATAATATTTTATTTTATTTCGTGATAGTTACATATATACATACATATGTATGTAAAAAATACTTAAATCCTATTTTAAATAATCAGAAGTTCTCTAATATTTACATAAGCTTGTGTAAAAATGGAGCTTGCTGTCGCATCGCGGACTCATACATACAAGTACACACATTGATATCTATATACATATGTATAAATTTGAATATCTTAAAACATGTCTGTCAACACATTCACTGATAAAAATGCATAAACACATATATATTTATACTTATTATGTAATATATTTTTTTATATTACATTCGCAGGGGAATTTCCAGTTCAATTCAATGGTTATGGTAAAACTCTTTTAATGTGCACATTTTAAACATATTTATTTATTTGATGAATATGTTAATTACACTAAATGTACAATATTGATTACATGTGTATTTTGGAAAATAAACATATTTGGATATGAATTGTTGAACGCACGTTTTCATTAGAACAGTTGCAGGAAGAAAGACTACAATTGCCACCGCTAGGGATTCGCATTGAATTATTCAGAGAAGCCGTGGGTTTCACTGCATCAAATGATCAATTAGGTAGGCGTTTTTTCGAAACTCTGTGTGTCAAAGTCGGCTTTCAAAAGTTCTCGAGAATAGACAATTGATCTTGATGGAATTTTACACAGGTCGTCCAGATACAATTAACTTAGAATTGAGCGAAGGATTGTTTTTTCCAATCACAACTATTTTTACCAAAATTTACATCTATTAATTTTATTTGTTCCGAGTTGGGTGAATTTTTTTTTTGTATCTGTTTAACCAACTGACATACATACATAATATATATTGTTTCAGGGGAAAAAACCAGAGACCAAGAATAACTCGTTCGAAATTTAGTTCTAAGGTAGGTAGGTAAGGTAGATAGGTTAGTATATTAATGGATTATCAAACTAATTGGTATTTCGATTAATCTAATCCAATAGCTATAAATATATGTATAATAACTGGCGGATTGGGAGGGTATGTTCTGCATATAACGTATCTCTATGCCTAAATTGCCATTGGGAATACTATTTCTTCTGGTAGCTGAAAAATATCGGCGGTTTCGGTTTGTACGCTTATCGCTAGTGTACGTAGGTGTAGATCAGAGTTGTGGCATTCGACTCATTTTGAGACATTCTTATTAATGAAGAGTTTTGAATCGGGTGAATGTTGAACGATACCGAAGAAAAAGTCTACTCTACAGTATAAGTATGCATATTCTAAAAAATAATTTAATTAAATTAAGGGTTAAATACCTAATTGATATAAAATAATCCATTATAATAATTCATCATATAAAATTAAATTATTAAATTTATAATTATTATATACAGTATATATATATATATCTATATATATATATATATATATATATTTATTTATTTTGGGATATTAAAAATATTTCTATTAGTGTTTACTCACCATAATAATAGAGCAGATAATGGATTAGCACGAACACGTGGATTTTCCGGCAACTCGTTGTCTCTAATTGTCTGCATCTTCAAGTCTCAAAAACTTCTTTCTCTAATTTATTTTATTGTTTTCAGCCTACTCATGTATAATAACACTTTTTTTTCTTAACTCAATATAAATTCACAACAGGAATCTCAGTATTTGCTGAAATGTAATAATATGCAATCTTAAATAAATGTGTGGACATAGACAGAAGGGTATTAACACTTTATGTGAAATTAACTTTTTTGTAATACAATTACACCTAAATATGTGTGTTGGTATGTAGTTTTTCTGAAGGCTCTAGAATGATAAGCTTAATATTTATATGTAAGATTTTGTACAATCAGCGCAATTTATTGCACTTTTGTATTTGCCTACATACATGAATATATAGTTGTAATGCATAAATCATGCAGACGTACATACTACACATACGTGTATGTAAGCTTATTAGGCTGATCCAAAAAACAGTTTTGCTTGTTTACCGGAAAGGTAAGAAGTAAAAGATGTTAAATACATACAGACGGTGCATACGATTTTTGCTGCAACTAGCCAAAAACATAGTGTCTCAGCTGTCACAATGTATTTCTTACTTCCTAAAGCGAATTTGTTACCTAAAAGATTTAGATGTTGTTTCGCTGTCCGGTCAGAAAAACTTTTATTTAGCTTAAGCTTTCATAGCATTTTTTTTTTATTTTTTAGCTATTTTCAGATTGGTTTAGATTTCAATTAAAATTCAAATATGTATTTTGGTAGAAAATAACGCGGCTTAGGTAATCCTCAAAATGTTGTATAAAGCGCCAGTTAATATTATGACTAAATAATAAAAAAAGGTAGATGGCTTTAGTAACATATATCTCGCGTTCTATAAGCGCGATTGGATTACGCTAACGCCGCGGTAGCCGAGTGGTTAGCATTGCATACTGCTATGCTCGGGTTCAAATCCCCGTGCGACCAACATACAAAAGTTATAGAAAATTAATTAAAAAATATAATTGAAGCTAATTTTTAAAATTACGTTCGCCCCTCTGCAGGGAATGTCAACCCCTCTGAGTGTATTTCTGAAATGAAATCATCAGCCTTTCGGAGGCGGCTTAGTATGAATTGCAGGTCCCTCCGTTTTGTTGGAAAAACATCAACATGCAAATCCACAAATCGGAGGAGGGGCTAGGCGGAAAAGCGCCAATTATATATGTACATATATAATATATAACAAATGTAAATGGCAAGAACTCCCTAACGCTCACGCTGTATGTGTTAAAATTATCGATTATCGACTTTCTATAAAAGTTCATACACACATAAACAACGGTTTTGTTATATTATATTATATATTAGCTCAACTAAAAAGTTCGTTCGGTTTTTTTTAATTGATTTTCCAAAATATGATAACTTTGTGTACACAAATGTCCGATTTAAGTCAAATATGCGCTGTTTTGAATTTTGAATCCAAGGTTATGCAAATGGTTCCAAGCGGTTTTCTGGCTTATCTTTAGTTCTTCAGCCTCGACAGGCCTCCCGACGCGTTGTGCATCTTTGACATCGAAATTACCGGGACGGAACCTAGCAAACCACTTTTGTGCTACACGTTCGTTTACAGTATCAAGCCCATAAAATAATCTAACTTTTTCAGCCGCTTTGGCTGATTTTTCGCCTTGATCGAAGAAAAGTTGTGAAATATAGCGAATTTTCTCTTTGCTGGTGTCCATCTTTGACCAGCGCTCACAACGTACTCAGTCAAAGAATCGAAAAACTTTTAACGCGAGTTAACACGTTTTTAGCGCCGTATAGTATGACATGATGCGACACGTAACACTAGTACTATGGACAATAACGCCATCTCTTAGATAAAAACCGAACGAACTTTTTACTTGACCTAATATAAAAAGCTAATACAAAAAATTTAATTCTGCACTGCATATTTAAGTTTTTTAGCTAAAAAAATAGTTCAATTTAATTGTATACTTGGAAAAATTCGGTAATGATACTGGCAATATAAATCGGGTACACTTTTTCTTTCAAATTTTAAATAAATAATAAAAACTTTTTAGTGGAAAAAATAGGATTTTAAAACAGTTGCACTTTTATTCATTTACATACATATTTATTCATTCATTAATTTTCGAAATAAAAATAGTAGTAATTTCTCTCATCATTGTTTGCCGTTTGTTTTGGGTGACTGTTTGGTAGTTGTGAAACTTCGTTTGAATTTTACGACTATCCTAATGTGTATTCAATGACATGGTCAGACCTTTAACATTTGGATATTTAGACCAAAACGCCTAAAAAGCAAAAATGATAGAGTCTCATTTCAGAATATACATATGTATTTCTTTTACAAGCAAAACATTTATTTAGCATTTTTTTCACAAATTGTCTGGATTGTTCACTCTTTAGCCTTACATGTATTGTATTTTATAATTTATTCATGATGAAATATTTAGTTCGTATAATCGCATTGGTTTTTATTGGCTTTAATTGCGTTGCCTTGCATGTACATATAAATATCTAAATAATTTGTATGCATATGTATGTAGCCGAGTGGATAGTATTGCGTGCTGCCATTCGGAAGACTCGGGTTCAAATCCTGGTGCCTTACTAACGTAAATAAAAGATTAAGCTAAATTTTATAATTGCGGTAATAACCTACTGTCGAATGAAATTATATGTACGTATGTATTTAATTATATGTATGTAGGTATTTAAGTTCGTTAAGTCTGCTGTAAAATATTCAAAGCAATATCCGTCTGCGGCTGCCCCCGAAATAAAAAAATCTCTAAATGTAAAAGCCAGCGTTGAAACTCTCCGCCGACGCTTACGGGTAAACGATTTGTTAGCTCGGAGCCCCAGAAAAGTGGCTTTGCTGACTAAACACCATGTGGTCAAACGATTACGTTTCGCCCATTCATTGGATCAAGAAGACCACTGATTTGGACCTTTCAACACGACAACGATCCGAAGCATACTAGCAAATTGCAAAGAAATGATTTGGAGACAACCGAGTAAATATTATTAAATGGCCTCCACAATCTCCTGACATTAGCCCGATAGAAAAATTGTGGACTTATTGTATTTTGAAGAAATCGGGGTCTGACTGTTATAATAATTTAGTTATGGGAATCCGTAGACTGCTTGGAACTCAATTCCATTTGAAAGATGCCAAAATCTGGTGAACTCAATTCCAGTTGAAAGGTGTCAAAATCTGGTGAACTCAATACAACGTCGCTGTGCCGCCATAATTAATAATAATGGTTATACAGCTAAATACTAAATTAATGTATAATAAATAGTTAATTGATAGCTAATGTAAAGAAAAAAACATTTAATTCAGCCTAAATAAAAAATGCTTCAAAATATACCCTATAACGTATAAAACTTCTATGTTGTTGTTGTTGTACCCGCAAAAATATTCCCCAAAGTACTTTTTGGTGAATGTTGCGGAAGTGACAGTCCTTGGCCGGATAAAAATCCAGGTCGTTCCAGTATAAAGGCCCGACTGTCGCAGGTGCTATTGGATTTTAGTCGCCTCTTGCGACAGGCATTCCTTACCGCGGGTAAGTTCTTGTACCTCTAACCCACTTAAAAGCTTAGATTTTCGTAAAAGTATTACTATTTTTGTTTTTTATATTCAAGTGGCTCCAGTTTTTTTTAATAAACTTTAATTAGTCTTTTAACTACTAAAAAATAAAAATTAAACTGGCTTTGGTAAACAACTACACATTTTTTTTTTTTTTCAACTGAATTTATTGCTTGTCCGCGCTGCTAAGATTATGACCGCCTCTGTATATTTTGATAATCAACTGCTATTTTGTTGTCGGCACACTATCAAATTACAATAACAAGTTAACGCTTTTTATATATCGTATGTAAGCTCTGTATGTATTGAAATTAGGACGTGAATTTTTAATGAAAAATTTCATTGACGTAAACTGTGATCTATCCTCTCGGTAAAGATGTAGAAATGTAAATATCTACATACAATTTCACAGTCGTAAATACATATGTGACATCAACACAGTTAAACCCTCTTTATATGACCAATTTTATTTGCAGGCATTATAGCACTTTTTAGACTGCTTAAGTCATGCTCAGTCAGGACTTCACCGAGTAACATTGCTTTTAAATCATTATATAATCGATCGTTTTAAAGATTAATTTTTTTGCTTTCACTGAAATAACAGCTCTTCAATCCTGACAAATTTTCTAATTATTTATTTATACTACATTTAATATGAGGGGAAAAATAAATAAATAAATCAGAGTTTTGTATGCTGTATTATTAATGGCAATCAATCACTCAATCACTGCACGCACTAAAATACATTTGGTCGGCGAAGACACTCCCTGAACAAGTGCGTCCAACGTCACAGCCACGACTGGGCTGACATGAGAGGCCATGTATATTAACTTTCGCTAATTCTCATCTAAATGTACATATACTAATTTCTCTTGGAGAACCAAATGATAACAAAAGCAGAAAATACGCATATGTGTTTGTATGAATGAGTATGCATTTGTTAAATACAGTCGCTAGTTTCCCAATGTCTTTGACAATTTTTCAATAAATTACAGCATTTTAATTTAACAGAATTGGAATTTCATAAGCATGTTCTCGGTAAACTCAAAATATACTATCAATTTACGATCAGTGAGGCGATCTCTGCTCAACACATTGTTATAGGTATGTAGATAAAATTCATGTAGAAAATGTATTTACCTATCTTATAATGAGTACGTCTGAGCTATGCCATTGAATTATAGCTCTCCGATCTTTTAGTTTTATATTTGGATATGTATTTTTCACTAAAAATCAATCCTAGATCACCTCGCTCACCCTCAAATAATATCTGGCCTTGAAACTTTTAGCGAGTCACACTCTGGAAAATTTTTCGTGCATTTTTCTGTGCACGGAACTCGCCTATTTGACGATATTATATACCTATATTATATATTGGTTTTTAAATACCTACACTTTAGTATTTCTAAATGTATATACCTATTTTCACAATAGACCGTCAATTTGACGGGTTATTTAATAACAGCCTGGCGATCCTCTCAGGTTATAGGTTCTCGACCTTTAAGTAGTTTGGTCGAAATTCGTTATGTATTTATTCTCTGATATCTTACAGAGGCGTGGGGAGAACCAAACTTGAATAAATAAATATGTAACAATCAGTACACAATAAAGGCAAAAAAAGGAGTCTTCATCATATTTCTCAGGAAACTATAATATCAGCCATTTGCACGTTTAAATCAAGGCCCCTTACGCACTAGTAAAGGCTTTAAAATTGCGAAAATGTCTCAGTGTAAAGCGTTAAACACTTGGTTTTCAAAAATCATTAATATAATTTTCGTTAAATTGTAATTGTTCCTAAATGGAAGAATAAATCTTTTTGCCTTAAAAACTTGACGTAGATAAATATGTTTATATGTACATATGTATTCTATGTGGGCGCCGTGACGGAATGTCCATTTGCACATACATATGTACATATGTTGGTATAATTGAGCACTGAGTTAACCTCTTAGAAAGAATAGCAAAGTTGTAAACTCTATAAACTATTTAAGTCTATTCGTCTCACTATCATACCTTTTGTAAATTTTAAGCTTTGTAAAAGTGTTTGCTTTTATTATCTAAATAGAAGTGTATGCTTCGATTCTTGCAAATTAGAATGAATGCATAACAAAATGTTTTTACCTTAAGCGGGGCGCAAAGTGAATTAAGAGTTTCCGTAGCTTAATTTATCGTTAAAGTAAACATAATTGGCGGAAGCGAACTAAGGAGAGCAATCAGCTGATTTCATTGCTATCAAAATATTTGTAAACTGGCATGGACGAAACCGGAATTAGAAGCAGCCAAATATAATGGTGGAACTACACAACATGCTTATGTTACGCATACGCCCTTAATTGCGTGCGTGATTTTGGATTTCGTATAATACACGAACTCTTTTGTTTGACTTTTTTATCTTATCAAATTATAGTAGTATACGATATTTTTGTTCGAATTTCAATAATGGGAAATTGAATTATTATAGACTTAATCCAACTGTACGCCTAACTATTGTCTCTAAATTGGAGCGTTGAGTGCAAAACAACTTTCAAACATCCTCATGGCTATACAATATCGGACATTCCACAATAACGCATCGTCAACGTTGAGCAAATAGAACTTTCAATATTGACAGAGCATTAGATGTGATGGATAAAAGTGTGAAAGAAAGAAGAAAAAGACTGACGAAGAGGAATATGCAAATAGGAGAAAATGTTTACTAATAAATTGCATTTTGCATATAATATGAGATGTATTCACTGAAACATTAATTCAACTTGTAGAGACACATTTTTGCCTACCGATTAAGTTCGTAGTACGTTAGCGCTTTTATTTAGGAATAGCGTGCGTTGGTACTCATTGGCGTTAGGAAACGCAACGCCGAACACTCCAATTTAGGAATATCACTAAGCTAAGCATGCTATGTAGTTTCTAGTTTACGGAATTTCATTTTATATTGTTTCAGTGGATTTCTTTTTAAAAACCCTGTCACCCTGATCACTCTGTATCGGCTTCATGATATAAATGTATAGTATATTCGTAACAACAAACCGTATCGGCAACAGCTTATCAATTTGCAAAATTATTGCAGAATTTACGAAAAAAAATTACTGAAAGCGTCAAAGAAATGTCTTCATTGGGGGACTCGGTCGGTTATTTAATTTTTGGCAATCCAATAAGCCAAGCGCTACTATCAACTGCTGCGAGTGTGATTGAAACTACTGTGAGATCTTTTCTGACCTAGACAATTTTTTTAACCAGCTTTAAAAATACTTAATTATAGGAAGCCCTTCTACCACGAAAATTACCGGCACCAAATGCAGGAGTACCTGTACTTTCATCACCACCAGTGCGCTTACCATTATGGGAGTTGGCAGGCAGTCAATACAATTTCATACGCCTAGCAGGGTTATGTGGTGCAACGGCAGTGATTATGGGCGCCTATGGCAAACACAACTTAGCTAAGATTTCCAACATGGAAGAAAAATCGGAAGCTAAAACAGTTTTTGAAACAGCAAATCGCTTCCACTTTCTGCACTCATTCGCTTTATTAGCAATGCCACTCGTCCGAAGACCGTTATTGGTAAGATATGATACAAAATACATATTAAATATTTTAAACGGGTCCTTGGCCATTCTGGTTTCGAATCAATAACATATATTAATTTTTTGTGCTTGTTTTGTAATCTTGTGTTAGATAAATATGAGTACAAATAGGAAGACGTAGAAAATATAAGCGGGAGATGTCAACTTTTGAACTTACCTATTTATCGCTTTTATTTGTTTAGTATTTTATTCCGGAGATTCATTAAAAGGCATATAACATGTTATTTCCATATATAATATATTGTATTGTCACTTTGAAACACTTTGTGTCAGAAAGTATTTAGTTTCCTTCATGCACATGTTAATTTAAAACTGTGGAGCTCATGCATTTTTGATTTATCTTTTTTTTAAATCATATTCGTACATACATAAATACGTATAATAATGTTTTATTAACATATTTTCTGTGCACTTAAATTTCCTTCACTTATTGAGTTTATTATTTAAGCATAACGCCATAAGTTCATTTTAAAGCTTGAGTTCATTTCACATTTTTCTTTTCTGAAAATTGTCATAAGCCCTGACGGATGACATGATATACTTTTAGATACCACAATGAACCGAATGTTCCAAAACTTTAAAGTATTAATATTTTTTAGTAGAAAATTGAGTGTAGAACTTTTTGGTATCTTTCGTAAATCACATCAGTGGCAAAAGCTTTATGCATATTCAATAAACACATGGTTATTTACTTTAGATAATGTAAATGTTTTTATGCCTGTAATTCTCGGTAAAAAATTATGTCTATTTTATATACCCTAAGTTAGTGAGTTTGCTTTAGCTTTAAAGTTTTTGGTTGAACGGATTTTATTAACAACTTGCGTTACTCGGAGTTTTTAGAAAATTATTTTATATTGACTTCTCTAAGTAACTAATGATGACAACAATTGTAACTTTCTGATGACTAATGCTTTTCAAGACAAATTTAAAATAAAGTAATACATTTTTAGAAAATTGTATTCTACTTAAGTTTTCCTAATTGTTTTAAAAAAACTTGGCTTAACATCAAAATAATTCGTTCGATTTTTAACGGAGCTGAACCTGAAATGCAATTCAACATAGGTTAATACCTTAACTTTGAATTTGTACAATCATATTTTTGTACATAAAAAGTATTTTAATATCCAATTTCACAAAGCTTGATCTAATAATTGACTTAATTATTTTAAAGTTTGACGTACTTCACATGTAACATTTATGTATTTACCGTGAAATTTTCAAACAATTTTCGTACTAAAAACTCATTTATACTTATTTTCTAAGTTTTATTTAGTATTAGACCACCTAAAGCAATAATATACTGCATGCATTAGAAAGCGTTTCAAAGTAGCTACATCTAATTAAGGTACTTTATAAGTAAATATACGTAATAAGTACGTTATACATGTTTATATGTCTATTATTAACAACCACTAAAGTTTTATTGACGCAAAGCAATCTTAGCCAAGAATGTTAACAAGCAATTGATTTTACTTTTTGCTCTTAATACTATTATATTTTTTTTATATAAATATATCTTTTTTAATTTCCTTTGTCAGCCGCTAAGATCATTAGAAGAGTATTTTGCTGTTCATTCCAAATTTTTCTTTTAATGATATGTACATACGTATTTATGTTTGTATATTTAGAATTTCAGTTAATACAATTAAAACGTTTTCCATTTATTTTAACACATCTTTTGCCATTAAAAGTGTGGAGCTAGTGAGTTAAGTTGAAATACATGTATTCCATTTGCTGGTGATATGAAGAAACGGTGTATTTTTAAATGAAGTCGAATTCGAATTGGTATATTTTTACTTTTGTTGGATAAAAAATTTGACAAAAAACTGGTTTTATTTTCAACTAGTCGTTAAGTGTTTTCTAAGCCGGTCTTATTGCATTCTAAAAGTTTTTGATTTTTATTTAGTCTTAATTTAGAAACTGGTCGTATTCAAATCTTTTAGAGTTCGGTATGGATCATTTAATCTGGATTTATTCAATTTGTGATTTTTTAAATAATATTAGATCAAAATCTGATTAACGTCTATAGGTAGCTATTCATTAATGTAGAAAATATTATAATTCAACAACTCGGATTCAAAATAACATCTTTTATATATTACATTATTCTTATTATTATGAAGTATTTATTTCCAATTCATTTAATTATTATAATTATTGCAGCTGTTTTTATTTTCAATATTTTAAAACAATATTTCATTACACAAAATCTGCGTACATGTATGTATGTAATAAGGAACTTGTCTTATTGTCCTCCTTTTTTGTTGATTTCACTCCTTTAACTGGCATGAAAATCCATTTGCTCCAAATTTACGTTTATATAAATTATAACTTATTTCAGACCGGCTCCATGATGGTGGTAGGCACTATGCTGTTCAGTGGTGTGCTCTATTATCGCGCCTTGACTGGTGACCGCACTTACGTGCCACTGGCAACATGTGGTGGTTTCTGTCTAATCACGGCCTGGCTCACGTTAATTTTTTAAGGTGTCGAATTATTATTATTTACACATGAATCAATTAGTCGTTTGTATATTGTGCATAAGTTTATTATATAAAGCAGAGAGCAAATTTGTGCAGAATATATTATTCATAGCATTATTGCGAGCCTTTGGTTGGCGAATTTCTAAAATCCCCAAAAATAAAATTAAAATAACCTGTACCATACGTTAGTGGTAAGTTAGTATAAGTTAGAGGTTCTAATTTGCTTAAGACTCAGAATATCTGAACTCAATGATAACCACCTTTATTTATTTTTCCATTTTCAATTTTTTTTTTTGGAACTCATCCTTCGTTTCATCGTCACCTATAATTTCAAGTTTAACTGTTTACGTTACTATGCAAGGAATTTCATTTTCCGTTTTGTATTTTTCCATTTATTATAGTAATATATATATATGTAAATGTATATGGGTATTAGCTATATCTAAACGTTAATAGCTATGTAGTGCCGATACAATCAGCGTTTAATGGAAGAATCAATTTTCTTAAGAGCTATGATATTTTATTGTTAGGTATGAGGTTTAAATGCATACTGTAATTTAAATTAATTTATTATTTTAGTTTTTTACTTGTACACATTACAATTTCTTCAACAAGTAATAAATCTACAATATAACAGATATTATTTATTTGTCGATTTATTATATAATATAAAAATTCTTCTATGTGTTACAACATATACATATGGAATATCTGTACCTATGCTTAAATTTCTTGTGCATATATTAAAAGTGCGTATTGTTACATTCAAAGCTGACATAAAATGATCTACTTTTGTTGATTGATAAAAATAAAGCTTCTGTCTACTATTTACTGGTAAAAAAAACATCTAAAACCACAAAGTTTATGCCCTAATATTGTCATTGAATTTTCACAATTGGAACACATACGAAAACGCACGATTCAATCATTGAATCATGCTAAATACAAGTGTATGTATGTATGTATGGTTATTTGGTTTTTTTGTAACAAATCAGATATCACTACTACGCCAATACATAGTTATTAAAACATGGTAAATAAATTTTCTAGAACGAATCTAAAGAGGAATGAGCACCTGCGGCATATAGTTTATGCTATTTATATTTTATGTTTTAGTTTGTTTGTTTATAAAGCAAATATGCTAAGCAATTGTTAATTAAGATTTTTTAATTTTAAATTAAATTTCAATATACTAATAGTGGCCTTTGCCACTTATTGTCGCACTTTACAAAGTTGTATATTTTTTCCTCTTTTACAGAATTTTCCATGTTTGATTTAAGTTTTTGATTATCAATACTAAAGCAATTAAAAAAACATACAATTTTACACTTACATTTGCTCACATTTGTTTGTGGATATGTACAATTTTCAATTTTCAGGTCAATTTGCTCTTTAAACGTTTCATAAAGCATACAAATTTATTTGCTGGTGCAGCTGTTATAAGTTTGCGCCATTTTGTATATTGTATACATATACAATTGTATGTAAATATTGATCTCATTAAACATATATCTAGTAGTTAGTTCGTCCTATTAAGTACTGTATAAAAATAAGCCTCGATATGATAATCTACGCGTTTCGTTCACATTTACCGCACCCCCATTGTGCAGTTCCTGCTATCCCAAAAATTTATGATGTGTAGCATCGGTGAGAGTTTTTTGTATACGTGCGTTCGCCGGATGATTCGCTATGGGTTCTAGAAACTTAAGTAAATACTCTTTGAATACCTTCGGTACAGAGAAATGTCAAGAATCCTTTTTAGCGCGCATGTTTTCCTCATGTGCCTGGAAGAGATGAGTGAATTTGTGAGAGTGGATTTAACTGGAACTTGAAAACGATTTACATGCTATGACTAACTAAAATACTCGTGGCAGCTGTATTCTTCTTCCGACATTTTTTTTAAATAGACTAATGATTTCTCATTTGATTTCTAGTTTGTTCAATAACTTGGAACAAAGCTATGGCATACTTAAATATCTAAAAATCGTTTAGTTTTTTTTTATCACCTTTCATTCTTATATATAACTAGAAAGAAGAGCTGTCTTCGGCCATACCAAAATCAATACACGTTTCACGACCATTTCAAATTTTTTGGATTTTTATATTTACGTTCAAATATTACATCTCATTATTCTCATCTGAAAAATTGGTTTTAAGAGAGCTAATTGTTATAGTTGTACAATTTTGATAATCTTCAGCATCAATATTCAATTTATCATATATGTGCAGAATGAAAATCTTCGCGATCGTAGACACTTTTTTGATTATTTATTATGATTTAAAATCTTAAACCTGAAAAATTATCTATATGCTATAGAGGTTTGCTGGCCGGTTCCGACAAACGATCGTTTGGTTGAAATATCTCAAAAACAGACGAACATACGAACATGCCTGAATCGACTCAACTTTTCATTCTGACTCGATCGGTATAAACTTTGATGAGTCTATCTCATTTTCTTCTTGTACTTATGTACATACTTCGGACCAAAACATTGTTTGGAAGCTTAAAGTTTAACCGGTTAGATATATACGGTAGGTAGAACAGGGAACTGTTCGGAAAAATCGAGTTTATGGCTCGATACACCTAAGATTCTTTTCTTACCAGGGCCAGATAATAAAAAAATGGATTATTAAAATTATGTTTATGTTCTTTTTATGACAAGATAAATGTATAAAGCACTTTTTTCCGGATATGAATCTGCTTGGACTTTGTTCGAATTTCTTTTGGCAAGTTTAATGTATGGAATTCTTTATTTCTGGAATGAGAAAAACTTACCTTTTGTGCCACCGTCAGCAGATTGTCGAAAGTGTTGTTACCCGCCTGCTTAACCATACTGTAAAATATTTTAGTTTTGTTCTCAGTAAGCAATTCAAATGGAGAACCGAACTCCACCGCCTTCCCAGCGTCCATCACCAACACCTTATCCGAGTCCATAACGGTGTGCAGGCGATGTGCAATTGTGAGTACCGTGCAGTTTTTGAATTTATTTCTTATTGTCAGTTGAATGAGTGCATCGGTCTGTGGATCTACGTTTGCTGTCGCCTCATCAAGCACTAGAACTTTGTTCTCACGTAATATAGCGCGCGCCAAACAAACCAACTGACGTTGGCCAACGCTGAAATTGCTGCCACCTTCGGAGATCTTGCTCTGTAAACCACTCGGCAGCTCAGATACGACACTTTTCAGCTTAACCTAAAAATTTTACACAAAAACGAAATAAAATGAATCGTTATATATTTAAGGAGATCATCCTCACCTCATCAAGTGCCTCCCATAATTTCGCATCGGAGTATTCGTCGAATGGATCGAGGTTGTAACGCATTGTGCCTGAGAAGAGTACCGGCTCTTGCGGTATAATTGAGATTTTGCTGCGTAAGTCATGCAAACCGATATCATTGGTATCTCTGGTGTCGATAATTATAGAACCTTCATTATAGGAGAGCCGGAAGAGTGCATTGATAAGCGAAGATTTGCCTGCACCGGTTCTACCGACAATACCTACTTTTTCGCAAGATTTTATTTCGAGGTTCAAGGATTTCAACACTCGTTCAGATTTCGGATCGGGGAAATATCGCAAACTGAGTTTCTCAAACTTTATATTACCCTCTTCGGGCCATGTCTTCGGTGGCTTCTTGCCAGGTCGGCTCTCCAGGTCTCCCTCGGATTCAATTTGACCATATTCCACCACACGCTCAACACATGTCATATTATTTTCCAACTCAGCCGACTGTCGCATACCCCACTGCACCATGCCGGTCAAGCCCATAGCCTGCGTTATGGCTAAGCCAACATCACCACCGTTTTCCGGCGATAATAAGAAAAAGCTCAGCGTTGTGACGGCGATGTAAAGTACACAGAAGCAATCGAGCCAATAACCAAAAGCACGACTCGTTGTCAAAAACATATAATAACCCGAGCTGTGTAAGTCCTGATAATTATCAAATTCATTTATCAATGTCTTTTGTGCACCGAACGCACGTATCGTCGACAGACCGCTCAATGAGGCACCCAAATGGGAGTAAATTGGGGAACGTGCTACATGGGAGTATGATTATTGCAAGAGTTAGTTATTTATTTTTTGGAAAAAGAGTGAAAAAGGTGTTCATCAACTTACTGACTGCTTCAATACGCTTAACATCACGTGACGTCTGTAAATAAAATGAGCGTAGAAAGTAGAATATGATTGCAAGTAATGCCGTTGTAGCCAAATTCCAGACATTCACAAGCGAGATTACGAGCACTATGCCAGCGCAGCCCAGAGCGATTTGAAGAACATCCATCATCACCGAAGGCAGGATTTCATCGACTTGACCCAAATCTTTAGAGAATCTATTCAATATGCGACCAGATGGGTTTGTGTGAAAAAAGTACATTGAGGCACGGGTGAGGCCGCGGAACATGGCGTTGTGCAAACTGATCGAGGAGCGTTTCGCCAACGTGAAAAAGAGAACACTGCGGCTCAGCGAGAATATGATGGTAGCCAAAATGATAGCCGAGAATATGTAAATATCGACTGGATCTGTGCTACTATTTAGACGCACATCACGACCGTAGAGACGGCCTATTATACGAGCGCCATAATTGTTACTTCTTGTTTCTTGCACATTTTCGTTTTTGTTTACCCTATGAGGAAAGTGAATTAGTATTTGCCAAACTTTGAAATTGCAAATATTTTGAACTCACCAATACGATAAGTAGTAATCACCGGCAGAGCCCAAGATTTGCGCGGCAACGCAAAAGAACATGGTTACAGTGAAAAGCAAATAGCCACCGCTAGCCGTAAAGTACTTTGTATACAATCCCCAGCTGATTTTGCCCTCTTCACGTTTTTCTTGCACCTGCAAAGGCGCTTCTCCAACTAGTGAGTCTGCTAGGGAGCTCATCGATGATATGCTGTTTTGGCGTTGCCTGCTATTCTGTCTTGATAAGCTCTTTTTTTCGGCGTCGCCGGCACCACCTGCGCCATCGCCGCCATCAGCATCCGCACTCAGGTCGGGCGCCACCAATAATTTAGCAAAATCAAGACCACTCCGACGCATTGACTCATATGTGCCCACAGCGCTTACCTTGCCCTTGTCCATGATTACTATGATGTCCGCCTGTTCTAGGAATTGCAGCTGATGTGTTACCAAAATAACAATATCTTCACGGAGAAAGCCGCGCATGCACTGATCGAAGAGATGGCGTCCGACATGTGTGTCTACGGCGCTGAGTGGATCATCCAACAGGTAGACGTTGGCCTTACGATACACCGCACGTGCTAAGCTGATACGCGCTTTTTGTCCTCCTGAAAGTGAGGCGCCGCGTTCTCCGACAATCGTCTTGTCACCGTTGGGTAGCAGTTCAAAGTCACGTTCCAAAGCACACTTTTTCACCACAGTACGATAACGGTTTTTATCCATTGGTAAACCAAAAAGTATATTCTGACGAACGGTACCGGTAAACAACCAAGGTTCCTGAGAAGCATATGAGTAGGAACCGTGTACAGTAACGGAACCTGATTCGGCGGGTAGCTCGCCAAGAACGGCTTGAATTAAACTGGAAAAGGAGAGATTTTTAGCACTTACATTAAAAGGATGCGCTCATTGAGGAGCAGCCGTAGAAAGAATACAGAAGAATAAAATAACTAAGAAAGCAAGTCGCGCCTCGAACCGTGAAGTGGTGGGCAAACCAATACCGAAATGCGATCACACTTCGACTGGCAATGCCAAAATAACAATTTCTATAATAACATACTAGTATACAAAAAATATGAGCTACTCTAGCTATACCAGTATCTTTTTCTTACAAACTTACCTAGATTTTCCCGAACCCACTGGCCCAATTACAGCCACCAGCGTACGCGGTTTCACATTTAAATTGATATTGTTCAGTGTGTACTCGGGTTGGGAACGATCCCATTTCGCCTTGAGCTTATGTATCTCAACTCCGGTAACTGAAGGTTTTTCTTCTTGCTGCGCCTCCAAGGTTTTCAGACTACCGTTCAGTGTTAGAGATTTTTCATTTTCTTCTATGATATACGTCTGCTTGATCTTCTTGTATTCCATTTCATTTTCATCAGAGCGATCTCTCACTTTGGTCTCATCATACAGCAAATACTTTTGTATACGTTTTATGGATACCATAGTCTCGGCATATTGTGAAATGGCCATAGGGAAGTAGACAGTCATGGCATTACGTAATATACCGTAATAGGCGGTGATAACAAAAGCCTTCTCTGCCGTCAAAAACTGGCCAAGTAATACATAACCAACCAGACTGACAAAGACGGACACACGCGTCATGAACATGATGAATGATTGCAAAATACCGCGAACATAGTTGACGTTGCGTATGAATTTCATTTCTTTACGACGCGCAGATTGCACCATGATGCCGAAAGGTTTTTCCCAAGCATACATCTTGATCACCTGTATGCCCGATATGATTTCGTTCATCATGCGCACGCGCTCGTCAGTGCAGAGTGCGGTACGCAGACGCAACACAGAAGTCTTCTTGCCGAGGTAGGCCTGCAGTGGCAGGAAGAGCAACATGAAAGCTACGCCAAAGAGCGATGAGACGCCGATCTAAAGCAAAAAAAATATAATAAATAGTCAAATAAAATCAAAATAAGTCTTATAACACAGCGATGAAGACACGCAGTCGTAAGAAACCTCTGCGACTGCTCAATAACTCCGTTACCGCTTCATCAAACTCACCTCCCTGTACATAAGCAATGTAATAATTACTATCTCCACTGGCGCAAGCCATAAATAATGCATTTGTATAAGGGACGTATCCAGCCGGCCCACATCGTTCGATATCAAATTCACTACTTGACCGGTTGTGGTGTCGCCCAGCGCCGTCTTGCTTAACCGTAGCGCCTTTCGATAAATTACGCTGCACAGCGCAACGCGTACCTTCATGCCGGTATGCAGGGTGGCCAGCATGTACGGGTGATAAAATATCACATTCAGCGCACTGCAGAGGATCACACCCAAGGCGTAGAGGTAGGCAGTGTTGGCGTTCGATTTGTTGCCCGGAGTGGCGTAGTAGTTAACCAGGCCACCGAGAAACAGTGGCTGCGTAACGCTGAAAAAGAAAAAAAAGGAAGAATGTACGTAAATATATAAATAATAAATTAGTACAAGATTAGCTTGTTGAAACGCATGCGTAGTTGTATGTCGGTACATAAGTACATACATTTGTATAAAATATTCGCATGAATTTATCACAAATGTAACTTATAACAAGCTGCCATGTACAGGAAATGTTACGGCTATAAGTATGTACATATGTTAATATGTATGTATGCAACTCCTGTGTCTACAACTTACCGCAGCCCGACTTCTATCAGGAGTAGCATAAAGCCCAATGCCGCGTATCGTAAGCCAAAGACTCGCAGCACCGCACTCCTCAGACTGGGCTCCCTGTGCTTTTGTCGTTTCTTATCGATCTCCGCCTCCCAAGCAATGCTCATTTTGGCTCCCAGCTCAGCTAACAGCATGAAAGTATGTACATAAATATTTAGTGATTAATCTTCTTCTATGTTTTGCAGACTCTTAATTTCATATTTAAAGGACGAATCTGTTTCTAGGCCGCGCACATTATCAATAAGTGCATATGTTATTATCAGGGATCTTGGATATACTGGAGATTGTTAACTAATTGAAACCCGCCCTCTGTGACCCGCTGAACCTTAATTACTAAGAAGCAAAAGGAAATACTCCACACAAGTAGTAAACTCTCGTAGCACTAACTAATCCAGAACGGGACGTTTATGAATTAGTTCATTTTGAAATAGTTGTAAAACGGGAAGGGATGGTAGAGATTCAGTAATTTATTTACAGCTCTGACTTATTTCACGTGGCAGCAGTAGCCGAGTGAATAGAATAATTTTTAGAAAATTATTTTTTTTTAATTGCAGTCGCCCGCTTGCAGGGTATGTCAACCCCTTCTTCTTCTTATAAAAAGCCAATATGAAGGCAACAAATTGGAAACTTAGTTTGTTCTCAAGTAAATATCATGAAATTTTGGCCGCATGTAAGAAGTGCCCAGCAGACGTTGTATATAAATATTATATTATATGTATATAAATATGTATTGCAGATACTGCTTATAAACGGTTAAATCTTATTTACGAGATATTATTTTACAGGCACATAGATGAGATACATATGTATATATGATTTTGAAAGTTTTCAGCTACAGTGGCCTGTGGTATGTGCTTAGGTATGGCGAAAGTGTTTAATCGCTTATCTTTGCAGGTGTGAAAACTTGCATGTCATTACATGCGCTTGTGCTAGAGATTTGTTAGGTTTTTTTAAATATCACTTTTATTTACGAGCTTAATTAAGAAAGTATTAATCTATGTATGTGCGATTGCGATGATAGTATAGATTGACACAGCTTTTTTAAAACGTAAAATATTTTTAAATATCTATCGCATACTTGCATATATGTATATACAAATAGAGATAAGATTGTATTCTTTTACTGTCAAATAGTTAATTTCCCATTACTTTATCCCCTAAGCAAGTGTGTGTTGCTTTGTCTCATTCATTTAGGAATTACCCACATTTTCAGGCAATCAAAACGAATATAATTATCAAGATAGATAGACTTTGTTTGATGGTAAAGCTCTCAACTAACAACTGTTTATTTTTTTTTAGTATAATCAAATGTTTGCTATTTAGTAAAACATCTAATCTCAGAATCATGCGGTACGTGACTCAATTCACTTGAAACTGAATATGTTCGCTCCTCTGCGTGGTATTTATAAACTGACAGTTGTAATTGTACTTCTGACTTGACAGATATACATCAGTCATTCAGATGGGACTTTGTACTGCAGATAAAATCAATAAAAAAAATGAAAATTAAAATCATTAGACCCCTTTTCCTCCTTACTGGCGTATTTTCGAGCTATTTGATGTCGATTGAAAGAACCAATGGTGACCTGAAAGGCAGAAGGTATGTTAACAGTCTACAAGAAAGCTTATTTTTTTTTTTTGAGAACACTATCTTGGACTGAATCCAATCATTGGATCCTATAGGAAACTAAAATTTAAACTGGGACACCTGAAAGAAAGCAAGCACACGCTCCTCATCTATATTTGTTTTGCAGCTGCAGTGACTGAATAGGTAGAACTGCGAACTATGAGCTGTAGATTAAGGGGCCGAGACCAGGCGAAACAACATCTACAAAGCTTTTTCCTAAATGCACCCTAACGGGAAATGTCTATACCACGGATTAAATTTCTTAAAACATAGAAATAAAATTAGAAAGACTCATACACACATTAAAATACAAATCGCAGAAGCGCCAATTATTTTGCCACAGATATTAATAAAAAAATATCCATTTTAGAGAAATTAAACATTTTCTCTGCCATTGAAGTATGTTTAATTTCCAGTTCTTCTTTCAGCATTAAAGTTATAAAATGTTAGTTATATAGTTAAATAAAAATGTGTAGGAACCTTAAAGCTTTGAATTGCAATGCAAATAGTATAGATATACCCTGTGGTCGAATATATGAGTTAAAAGCGATTTTGAAGTCGACTAAGTGTCTTTTTCTGACCCAGTTATTGGTACTTTTGATTTAGATATTCCCGGGTTTCGGTTACTAATTCAGTACCGAACCTAAGTTAATGTTTTATTTCTTAAGTTAAGTGATAAATTAAATGAATTAATCATATACATATATGATATATAAAAGTGAATATACAGCCATGACCAAAAGTATTAGGCACCCCACTAAATACTAAATTGTTTGTTTTAACAAGTGAAGTAATGAAGTTTTATTGGTAAAACAGTGAAAATACAATGAACAAGTGATAGTAACATTAATATTTAGTAGGTCCACCCTTCATTTTAATAACTGCAGCAATTCTCATAGGCATGCTGCGTACAAGTTTCTTACATTCGCTCGCACTTATAGTGCACCACTCGTTAATTAAGGCATTATTTTAGGTAGTTTTTGATGTTAAACTGTGCTCCTTAATCTTGCGTTTTAAAATAGCCCACTTGTGCTCAATGGGATTAAGATCTGGAGGCCTTGCAGTCCAATCTAACAAAGCAATTTTGTTTCAAATTAGTATCGCTGAAAATTCGCGTTAACGAAAGCAGAAGAAGATCTTTGACTGTTCATGCGACCCTCGCATTACACCGACACCATGCAGCCTCAGATCATAATGCTGCCTCCTCCATGCTTATCAGTGGGTACCACGCAATCTGGATGATATTCTTCCCCATCCTGTCGCCTCACAAGCCTCACACCAGGTGTTCCAAATATCTGTAGAAAAGAAAAAATAATGTTTTCATCAGATTTGTATTACGTCTTCAAAATTGCTTCTGGGTACGAAGCTATGGCTGTTAATACTTTCAGACGATCTTACCTGGCAGTTGGTTTACTAAATTCATCCGAAAGGGCAGCTGCAAGGGCAGAAGAAGATTTTTTGTGATCCTTGTATTCGGTTTTCTCGTTTACTGGTTAGACGCTTTCTTTCACTTTTTGATTTATTATTGTGGGATTTCGTCTCCGCGCACCGCGAACATCCCACCAAATTCGCAATCTCAACCTGAAACTTACGTTCTTCACTTAGAACTTGAATTCTAACTCTTTCATCGTGACTAATCTCACCTTTTTTAGGCAAATATGAACTGTTTTTATGAGATTGGTAACTTTTCACTAAATGTAATTTACACTTTCAAATTTTAAATGTGAAAATATTTTATGAATTTCTTAAAAATTACAATTTTTAGGTTTAGCTTACCCAGAGTGCTATGACTTTTAATATTACACACTTTATTCGATTAATCAACAGTTGAAGACCCATGGAAGACATTTACAAAAAGAAGTGGTAACTTTGATAGCCACATTTGAGAATACTTGTATTTTAGAGGGCTGCCTAATAATTTTGGCCAAGGCCGTATGTATGCCGCCAGTAGATTTCGAAACTACTGAGCAGATTTTATTCAAATGTTCAAGTGAAGGTTGGGTATTTTTGAAACAGTTGCCACTTGAATGCAAAATAACATTCCGAATTTTTTCATCTATTGTGAAATTTAATTGTATTTGTTAGACAGGTACTTCATTGCCTGACTTAAGGCAGGGACCATTTTTTTCGGGAAGTAGACCTAAACCGATCTATTCCCAAAAACTCTAGCTTACGGTTCGATTTACTTGTAATTTTGCGAATTTAATCAGATACTGATCTTAATGGGACAAAAGTTTTATGGTTCGACTTTGTTGAACTTTTCTACGAAGGTATCTTTTTGTATAGACAAAAAATGTGGCAAATGGACGAGAGATTAAGTGCCTTTCGGTAATGGCTGGCCCATACGCGTTAGTTATAGTCTGATAATATTTTACATCAATGGTTTCGCATGATTTTATCAGCTTTGGTGTCATACAAGAAATATTTCCAAAATGAAAAATAGCCTTTCGAGATCCCGGTTTCAACTCATACGAGTACATACTAATTATTGTGGACAGATGAGAAACCTTTCCACAAAAATATGTAACTGTGGAATTGTCCCTAAATTCTTTCGAGAACGAACTGAACTGATTTGCACCCCCAATACGTGTAAATTACAAATTCAAGTATAATAATTTTGAATCTTGCTTTTAATTATTAAACAAAATTAAACAATGTAATGAATTGATATAGCATGTTGATTAACTATTTTGTAATTGGTTTAGGTCTAGTGCGCTTTTGGTCAATAAATTCAAACAGTATGTACATATGTATGGAAGATCGATATTTGTACAAACGTACTTTGATTTAGTGACTATATTTGAAGCTAAAAGAATGTTGTATGTATGTTTGTACTAGCTATAATTAAGCTAGAGTATACAATTATTTGAATGTATGTATGTGTGTAATATGCCGGTTTTAGCGTCACTAAATGTAAATATTTACATAAAAATATTTAAAAAAAAAAACCAGTTTGCCGGTACGACATTGAAATTTCACTCAGCCACTCATGATTAATGTGCTAATTTGTTCTGAATATTTATTTATGAATGAGTGAGTGAGTTTAATTTTCCCTCATTAATATGCATAACTTAGCATAGCACTCACATAATATTGTATATGAATGTCCAATATGTGCGTGATTACGAATTAATACTCACAAACATGTACATACCATACATAATATACATATGTAAAAGAAACTGAATTGCCTTTTGTGATGGCGATTGTCGGGCAAACCTCAAAGTTCAAACAAAATTATTTCAGTTTGGTATTGGATTTCATCCTAATATTGGCTGCGTCTCTCAGCACAAGAGATCTCTCTTATTGCCCTTGATAGTCGGTTGAGATGTTTGCCAGAAGATACGATGACCAGATCATCTGCATAATATATGTACTATCTATAAGTTTTTTGCTGTAAACAGTTTTCGTAAATGGTTTATCAAAGTGTCTCACAAAAGTGGAGACAAGATGGCCCACTGGCCTAGCCTACAAATACTGTCTGAACATTTTTTTGGCCACTACAAATAAAAAAGAAGTGTTTTTCATTGTAAATATTCAAATTTCTTACACATAAGAGGCGAGCAAGCGCCAAATTTTTATTATATAATACAGAAAACAAATTCAAATTAAAGCTTACTTTTCATTATCAAGAAGCATATAAAACCTGCTACATTAAATTGCACATTTATAAAAAACCAAGTGTAAGATAAGTATTTTGCTGCCCCACTGGAAATGACACTCGCCCACTAATACATGCATATTTGTATGTATGTTTGTATGTACTCGTATGCGCATATGTACATATATAGATATAACAAGCAATTGTCATAAAAATATCAGTTGCATTCTTCATATTTGCTTAGCTGCTTTTTGATAGAGGCCACTTCAAGTCAAATTTCAATCGCTTTTTCATAATAGTTTTGTTCGGTGATCAGATGGACAGTAAAAATTTTTACCAAACTTTACTGGATCGTGTCCGTTGAGCCAAAAACTCAGTAAAAATTAGTAATGATAGAGCGTAATTTTGACGTTTAAGTCTTTAATATGACTGATATACTAACACATTTAGTGCTTAAATGCATTTTTATTAAATAAATTAGATGGTATCAACGATTCAATCAAATAGTTAAGATACTCATTTAAGAAAATGCGGTGGCAGCGGAGTGGAATCATCGTCTGCTTACCGCCTAGCCCACGCTGATGAATTAGGTACATATTATGAATGTTGAAGGCATAGGATTAAAAATTTTGTTATTTTTTGAACAACGCGAATTAATTTTGATTCCTAAAATTTACTAGAAAGCATTGTCGACCAAATTAGCTGCAAAACATTACGAAGAAAAGTTTCTGCTACGGTCAATTGACGATAATGCATTCTTATTAGTAGCATTTAGAAGGAATTATAAAGCTCTTTCTTGGTTTTTATTTAAATATTATGAAAAAAAAAACTCTATAATAATGTTGATTTAAAAAAAAATTCAACCTTACTTTCATATTTCACACATCCTCACTGAAAATCTAAGCGACATATTGTTGCAAAGCAAGTTTTACATAAATATTCGCCTTTTTAAATGTATCTTTATCGTTGGATGGGTATAAAGCATATAGATTTTCATAATTTCTGACACAAAATAAATTTTAAATAAAATTTATCAAATAAAAATTCCATATTATTGCCAATTTGATTAAAATACTTAAAAACAGCAAAAATAAACTACATAAATGAACGGATTTAAATGTAACCGGCAAATTGGATGGGTATAAAGCATATAGATTTTCATAATTTCTGACACAAAATAAATTTTAAATAAAATTTATCAAATAAAAATTCCATATTATTGCCAATTTGATTAAAATACTTAAAAACAGCAAAAATAAACTACATAAATGAACGGATTTAAATGTAACCGGCAAATTGCTGGCTAATTTTTACTGAATTCTTTTCGTTGAAAACTCGGTAAATTTCTCCCTTTGAGAGGGTAAGAAATCTTACTCTCGCAATTTTGTTACCAGCTGGTTTTTACTGACATTTCTCAACAAACACTGCTTAAAGCAAATATCACATTTGATACTTTCAAGTCCTGAGTAATAAATTACAAGGCGGTGCATTTCTAAGCAAAACAAAGAACACTAAACAATTGTAAATATAATCTGATATTTTAGACAGCTCATACTCGGATTCAGCGTCAGGAACGTAAAAAACAAGGCGAATTCACACACGGTAGTAGCAAGAATATGTTTTTGTGTAAACATACTTTCGAAAAGTCAAAAACGAAAATCGTTCAATGTATTTTGTTTGTGTAAACGAACTTTCGAAATGCCAAAACCTATTTCTCATGTACATATTTATTTTGTTTGTGTAATTTGTTGAATTGGAAGGACGAACAAGCAATCATATGATGTGACAAGTTCACCTTCTATAAATTCGCCTTGGTAGAAAACTCTGAATTTCTAAACATGACATTCTGAAATCAAAAAATATTTATTTGAAAAATAATTTATTTTTTATTAATATAAATTAGAATACGCTTGTTACAATTGTTAGCACTTTTTTCTGAACCAGGATCGGCGAGGCATGTAGCCAGAAAAATTTTGTAACAAGAGGACGCGATTTTGACGTTTGATTTGGAGAGAAGTGCTAGAAACAGCTAATTTTTCGTCACAGGGTTGCATTCTTGTCAACAAAACGTAAAATTACTTAAAACGAATAATAAGAATGGTTAAATATGAAGTATGCGCTACTCAGATACTCATTAAACGAACATGTGGTGGCAGTGAAGTGGAATCATTGCCCGCGCACCACACAGTCTTCATTGCGAACTTGGAAGTTAAGAATGCATAAGTCATAAAATTAGAAAAATTTTACCAAATTAGAAGCAAAACATTACGATCACAATAACAACAAAAATGATAAAAATGCTAGTTGCGTTGGAAAGGGAAAATAAAGATCTAAGGGAATATTCTTCGATTTGATTAAATATTAATCTAAGGAATTTCGTTAACATTGTCGGCCATTACAGAAAAAACTTCCAAACTCATTTCCATTTTCAATCATTCTTCCTAAAAATCTAAGCGACAAATTCTTAGAAGCAATAAATAAATCTTCGACCTTTCAGAGAACTATCGGAAGAATGATATTTACCGGTATCCGGTATCTTTATGGCTTGACGGCAATGAAGCAAAGTAGGAAGTATTACCTCTTTGTTGAGTTACAGTAACTTTTGAATGCAATAAATAAATTAGAAGTGCCATAAAATTGTATACTGTACGAATAAAAGGATTCAAGTTTAAGCGCCAAAATAAACAGCTGTTATATAAATTGCGGTCTAGTTTTAATTGAATCGTGTTCGGTGAAAACTCAGTAAATTCCTCCCTTTGGATGATTAAAACATTTTACTTCCTCATTTTCATTACTGGATAATTCTTACTGATATTTCCCACCGAACAGAGCTACAATATTAGCTTTTTGTCCCCTACACAATATATATGGCTCGGTAGCGATCGTACATACAAACATATATGTATATATGATGTGTATGCAAGTATATTTATCACTTTATAAAGAGTTTATTACCAACGCCATGCATTTATAGCTATAAATATAAAATGCACCAGCCATTTTTCAAATCGTTTATAAGAAATTGAAAGTGTTTAAGCTTGCTTACCTGATTTGTGTGTACTCAAAGCTTGGTAGAGATCATTTTCGTCTAAAGTCTTTTTGCGGCCTTTGAAAAACACTGGCATAGTAAAGCTGAAAATAAATAATTTTTATTAAAAAAAAAAAAAACAGAATTAGTTTAGAATATTTTTAAGTTTACAACATATATACATACATACATACATACATATGTAGGTAAAATATATGAAGAATTCTTAAAAACCTTTAATTCATGTATATTTTATATATCGCCAAAACTTTTTCGGGTTTGGTCCTTTTGACAGCTGCTACTTCAGCGAATTAGAAATTTAAATAATGTTTAATGGGCCCAAAACGAGATGGCCAACGATTCCGATTTTCACAAGAAAATTTTGTGCAACGATGAAGCTCACTCTTGGTTAATGGATAAGTTAGTAAGCGAAATTGTCACGTTTGGAGTGATAATAAGAAACAAGCCAATATTAACACGCCAGCAGAGGCATAATTGGTCCATATTTCTTTCAAAATGAACCCGGTCATAATGTTACAGTGTTTTGGTGTGGTCGAACTTTGATCTCAACAAGGCCTTACAGTTGCCTTATAGCCAACGGAAAAATCAAATTAAGGAATATATCGCTTGTCTCTGCAGATAAAGCCGAGGCCCCATATTGCTTGCTCGAAATCATTTTTCAAACATAATTGCAACCTCTTCATAATAAAAGGAAATCCCTGTCCATACATTAAATTTTATTTGCTATGTATGTATGTGGCCACTCGACCTCCAGGTCTACCAAAAATGATGAAAGTAAAAACTTTTTTTCTTTAGACAATGTGATTTGTTTGCATAATCTTAATTTTTAAGATGTCTAAGACTTTAAAAAAGTCGAGAGTCTTTTTTTTTGAACAGGAAAGAAGATTTTATGAGTTACTTCTCTAAGTAAATTATCTGGAACATTAAGCTTCTTCGCGGACTCAGTTTTTCATACAATTTTAATGAACTGTGACTAATTATTGGTATCACGAAGAAAAGTTCGAGAGCCATTCTGCTCCGCAATTTTAACAAATACTCACCAGTGGTCATTGTAAATTCATACAACATACATAAGAGGAAATAACAAGAAAATATCTGAACGTATTACTTGAAAAACAATAATTAATTTTTTATTTGTAATAATAGAATATTCTCAGTATCTTTAGGATATATGTTCCAATACTGGAAAAAATGGCACTTTGTAACCGCTGAAGCAATTTTCATCCGAGCTCCTACTCCAATTTGTGGATGTGATGTTTCTCCTAAACTGTAAGCCATTAACAATCTTGATCACATTGATCAAACTGACATAAATGGATGAATGAGTGCTTAAAAATTAAAACAAAATGCTTAAAAATTTATACGTTCGAATTTTCTGTCAGCACAATTCAATCGTGATTAGGTAGAGACGGAAAATACGTGCTGATTTTATCATATTGATGATTATGCGCTCTGATTTTTGGTGTGCTTAAAGAAATACTTCTCGACAAGCTTAAAATGTGGAAAAAATTAGAAAAAAGCCGCATCTCATAACAGCGTTGAAACAAATGAACAAGACCAAAACTATTCAGACCATCCTGCCTGATCCAATCGGTATAAACACTGGTGGCTCCCTATTTTCTGCTTCTTAGGACTATAGTTATGGCAAGAAAATAGATCTCCTCGAGCCGTTCAGTACGAACTGAGATATTCTCTCTATATGTTGTGGCTTCCTATTCTCAATCCATATATTTATATAGAAACGAAAAATGTTAACTACTACGCCTAAAACTAAAGAACGCCTTGACCGATTTCGATAATGTGCACCAATTCAGATTGGTATCCGGCAAATAAGAATACGAAAAAAATCCCAGAAGTGGATCAGGAACAAACCTACTAGAAAAAATGATATTTATGGTTTTGTTAACTTGAGATTATTTTCTTTCCAGAACCCGATAACGTTGTTTCTGAAAGAAAATTCTTATTGGCGTTATATTATAGTTCAGTTTGGCTGAATTTTTGTAGGTAACTTTATATACTGATAAATCATTAACCCCCATTTCGAAGCACAATTGTCTTGTTCTCAAAAGTATTTAATGATTTCAAGTGCTTCATAAGAAATTTTAAAATTAGTTTAATAAATATACAGGCAAACCCGGTTAATTGGCACAACCAAATATGCAGATTTTTTGTTTAGGTTCTCTTCGTTAAAAACATCCATTTAAAGTATGTACAGTTAACTTTTTCTAATAAAGTTTTAATTAATAAAGACAAAAAAAAGAAACAAAATTTTAGATTATATGCAAGGCAATATGAGACCAATCAATGCAATGCAAATTAAATTTTGATTAACACAGGAACACATTGCATGTGTTCGAATAAAGACAAAATCTATTCAGGTTTAATGTATGTAACTTCAATTTTCTTAAAAAAAATTTTAACAAACCGTCTGCTTGAATATTTTTTTAACAACTTGTCTTCCAATCTCTCAATTTTTTCATCTTCAATTTTGTGCTAATTCATAAAGATTTTGCAAAGACTAAGCATACGCAAATAATGGAATAAATTCCCGACTCGGACTCGTAACAATGCCGAAAATTAATGATATGTATAGAAGGACAACACTCGATACACATAATATTATTGGATAATTGATTATACACGATGCCATATTGGGAGAAATGACATGAAGGTTTTTGGGGTGGTACATAAGAGGTGAAATTTGTAAGTAAATTTTTGAATGAAGCACAAAATTATGTGGTACTTAAAATAATAATTTCTTTGTATCAAAGAAAAAAGTTGTGAGACGAAGTAAGACAAAGGCAGATAAGAGACATTGGTACTTAAGCGGGGTGGTACTTAACCGGGGCTGACTGTAATTCCTTTCTTTGTACATTGTATATTGTTTCATTAACACTCAATTAACTCAATACATACTAGTCGATTTCCTTGAAATTTGGTACGCTTGCAGCTATTTGCCTAGATTATATTTATATATACATACAATCGCCACTTTGTAACCGCTGACCGTTTTTCGACCTGGATTAACCCATAAAATACTATAGTTATGGGTGGGGAGCACTGTTAAGCCGGGCAGCTAAGATACTTTTTTTTACTCTTTCCTGAAAGAAGCGTAAAAGCCACTACTCGGCCACACTTTGAATGCACTTTAATTGTATAAGTATACATATACGTAGCTAGATCAGTAATATAATGGGAAATATAAATTTTGCATTATTTGAAACTTGCACAGGACTGTTCGTTTTCCCTTGCCTATCAGCTCCTTTATAATACCAAAATTATAAGATCTAAATTGAAAAAAGCATAAAATCACAACAACGTGTGGCTGGACTCTTCTAGTTTGTTATGAATATAACAGCTGCAGAGATTCATACGTAAAAGTACAACCTTCCACAATACAAAAGTGATGGTTTGCGAGGCCCGACAACATGTCCGCGTTGTTGTTGTTGTTGTTGTAACCGCAAAATTATTCCCCAAACTACTTTTTGGCGAATGTTTTGGGAGTGACAGTCCTTGGCCGGATAAAAATCTGGGTCGTTCCGGTATAAAGACCCGACTGTCGCGGGAACTATTGGATTTTAGTCGCCTCTTACGATAGGCATGCCTTACCGCGGGTAAATTCTTGAGCCCCTAACCCGCAGGGGGTCGTCGTTACTTCTGCTTTCGCAGACAAGGCAGCGAGGCATGGATGTGATAGCTCAATGACAATATAGGTTAATGTACAATAATTACAATATTTCTTAAGAAAAAAATTCTCATCGTGACACGAAGATAATGTAAATAAATCTGTTAATCTGTGTGACCTATCAAAGGAACTTCATCATTCCACGATACGAATTTAGAAAAAATTTACTTAATATTTTTGTTTTTAAAAGCTCGTATTTTTTAAGGAAACTAATGCGATCTAATAAAATGATAATTGATCATACATTTGTATAGGACTATCCATTTTCTGGTTTCAAAAGACCAGTGCTGTCAAAGAACACGAGTGAATATGGCTTTAGCACCGTCAGACTTTTCTGAATATGAGGCAAAAAGTGGTCGTAAATGACGTCAACCTTTGGTCCAGTTTGCAAAAATTCGAGGTAGTTTTTCATATACGTATATTTTCGATGCCGTAAATGGATCACCCTGTATATATAAATCGCTATAATTAAGTACGTATTGTAGAATCTGGAATTTGCATCTCACTTAATCGCTATATCTTAGCGTCGTTGTTTTTCTAGTAATCGTTTCGGTCATATTTTAATAGCTACAAATCAACAATTTATTAAAAACAAACTGTTATTTTTTTATGCGCTCCCTAAACTTTGTAAATTAGAGTCGTTAGGTGAGGAAAAATTCATATTTGCGTTAATTTACACAAATACCTCACTTGAACAATAGACAATAGTCACATATGGCGCTCAAATAACTATTTTCATAACATAACACATATTTACTTGGGGTTGAGTATGTGTCAATGATTTCTTTCGAAACACTTACCAGAACATAAATACCGATAATGGATTGGCGCTTTCGCGTGGATTCCGCTTCATTTCGTCCGCCTTGAACGATTGCATGGCGGCTTGTTTGTCTGAATGTAGTTTGTGGATGTCAAATTGGCAGTGATCGCTTGACACTTGATATTTTATTATATTCACAACACTTAAACAGCACTAACTGTAATGTGGGTGTAGAAAAGCAAAACAAATATTTGATATTAATATATTGAAATAAATGTTTGAGTATCCACTACAAATATGTATGTGCATACATACACGTATATTAATGCACTGTAATGCTGATTAGGAAAGGACTTGTTATTATTTATGAGTATATAAATATATACATTTGAACTCTTTTAGACATATTATATGTATGTATATAGCTTATTAACTCGTACATATGAACCACGTAAAAGCCATATACCACATTTTTTAATTATAACTCGTATTGAACGATTTCTTCACACTCCACTATGTACATATATACGTATGTATGTATGTATGTAAGAACGACATTTGTAATGGAATTCAGAAATGTACAATTTAGATTTTAATAATTTTTCGGTTGCCTTTCCTCATTTTTTCTGCTTGTTAATTTTTATTTTTGTTTACTGTTTTACAACCACTCACGCGTATGTGCCTATGTATGTGCACCTATCTAGAACACGCTAAAGTTATTGAAATTTTTTTTCGTTTGTTAATTTGAATTCTGTTAGCATTGAAAACGAAATAATCATTCTATTTTACCGCGTCAGAGAAATTGTTCTATTTCATAGCATCATAGAACGCCCCTGTGCTAATGGCACATAAAAATACACCAAAGCAAAATGCACTGCACTCAAAGTCATTGAAGAATCATTTTATTAACACCGATCGACCCAAAATAAATTATATAATTAATTACCAATGCGCGTGCTGCCAATATTTATGATTGTATAAGAGTTGTCTGCACATTTCAACTATCCGCGCGAGACTCTTAGCCAAGAGTTGAAGGCGCAGCACTTTTATATCAACCGTTGAGTGCTTTTATCGCCGTTGAAAGATCAGCGAAAGAGAACTTCAATTTGGTAGTCTCTCTTAAGTGTCGTATTGTCTAATATTTCCAATGAAGAGCACAAAACCTATTTTGTATATATTAAATATATTTTTTTACTATATTTATCATGACTTGGCATTTCTTCACAAGTCGCATATAAAACATTTGATAACATACTACACGTACAACATTTTATCACAATTTGTGGAAATAATATAATTACTTGTCAATTAATCTTAAACTTACAGATAACAAAAATAATTTTGGTGTAATTTTGCAAGCATTGATGAATACGACGGCTCGGACATACATAGATACATATATTATATATTGGTTACATAAACATGTTTATATTTTAAGTTATGACTTGTACATACATATGCATGTACGTGTATCATGCCTAATATTTAAAAACTGAATTCAAGTCCAGAAATTCAAGCTAATTTCGGGAGTACACTGCTAGGAATAAAATTTAAATTATAATTTTGTAGTTGTAAACTCAAGAGGCCTATTCTTAATTTCGTCACAACGTAGGTGACCAACGAGATATCAGCAAAGTTTTGTTGAGGGAAATTGAGCGACAAAAAGTTTAAGAGAATGCACGTAATTCAAGTATTTCCTCTTTCTCGCGCGCATACATAGATAATCATAAGAGAAAAGTAAGAGAGCTTTTGGCGCTAACAAGACGTATCGTCCACATGAAAGAAGCACACGTATTAGGAGGCTTTTTTATTTTATTTTATGTTATTTGATTGTCATGTAATTTTATGATATTTTATTTTAGTTCGTTTTATTTAATTTTATTTCATTTTTGCTTAATTTAATGTAGGATTAAATTAAATTTTAAATTCATTATTTTTTAGTTTATTAATTCGCTTTATTTATATACAACAGTTTTATATTTTCTAAATCGGCGGTCTGGTGCTTCAAGTGGAGAGGTTTGTTTGCCTTGCATCTAACTTATATATAAGTTAGAAACAAAAAATAAAAATAAAAAAAAATATTTATTTCAAGGTATGTTTATTTAAATATTATATTATTATATTCCAAACATTAAATCTATGTTATTTAAATTAAATTAATTTCGTTTTATATCATAGTTTACTTTAATTTATTTTATTTTAGTTTATAAGTTTACGAAATTTTGTTTTATTTAATTTAGTTTTATGTTATTTTATTTGTTTTATTTAATTCTTCGTTATTTTATTTTATGATTTGTTTCATTATAATATTTTTATTTTACGTATTTTTATATTGTTTTAATAAATTATTTTTTTATTTACTTTAATTCATTTAATTTTATTTATAATAGTTGTATATTTATTTCGTATAATTTAAATTTATATTTGTTTTTTTTTGTCAAGAAAACTGTTAATTTTTTATTTTAATATGTTATTTTATTTTAATTTATTAATTTTTTCAATTCTTTACTTTATTTTATTCGTGGTTTCAATATTCTACGCAGAAGGGCGAATTACTCAATACAGTCATTTATGAATAATTTATTGGACTAGTATTAATTTTAATATTCACTACTGCAAATTTTTATTTATGTATGTAAGATTAGCTGACACCATATCTCTTGAAAGCTGTTTGCCTTTGGGGACTTGACCTTGAATTATTACTCACTGTCATAATTGTAAATATCAATACGCAGATAAGAAATAAGCACACAGAAAATAAGTAAGCCCAATCGAACTTTCTACGTTAAATATTAAAATATTTCTTAATTATTAAAGAATTCAAAAGAATTGCTAGTGAAATGTTTGCTTTCAAATTATTATCAAAATCTTTTTTCTCGCATCATTTTATGATGACATAAATTTGTGTAAAATTTTTAGAATCCATCGATTCCATTAATAGCTCATACGTTAACGCATACAAAATATGACGTATTGTTTCCCATTTTTAAGTTTTTAAATGCATTGCGGTGATTCCAACTTTAGGAACAAATATGTTTTTTTTCACGCGTGTTAACAGATTGGCGAAGCCATATTTTTGAGTAGCAAAGGCCAAATTGGAATTGATTGATTTAGAAACTTAAAGAAGGAGCTCATAAAATATAAGCCCAATATATACGAACGATTTTACAAGTACACCACAATATTTACTAACCATGCATGTCATAAATTGTAAATGAGTTGTCGAATAAAAATCACTTTAATACAGGAGGTCTTCCATCCAAAAAAAATACTAATTATTGGTTTATATTTAATTATTTTATTTTATTTTATGCTGACGCTTAAACTACACTTTGCAATCCGAGCTCATTGTAACTTTGAATATTCCTTTATTTTCCAAGCCAAGTTTGGCAGCAATGATTTTCAGCTGTCAAACTACGCTACTACTCTACTTTATCAGTAATAATCTACTTTTGCGATAATGGATAAATAAGCAGGTAATATTTATCCATTATCGCAAATAGTAGCTATAATTTTATATAATATTATTATATTCGAAGTTTTTTACTTTATTATTTGCGTTTTAATTTATTTATTTTATTAATTTTATTGACTTTATTTTGTTTGCTTTATCTTCCTCTACGTGCTGTGTCATTCAATAAGAAATTCATTAAATATACAAATTTAATTACTGAGAACCCTTATGTAGAAACAATTAAAATTCAATACGCGCCCGGCGCTTACTCAATGCTCACAATTGCCAAAGTGGAAAGTACAAATAAACGCCGTTGTACTTGCTTGAGCTGTGTGAAGAGTGAATGCAGATTTTCGGTTGATTCGCAGAAATACGAACTATGCCAAATAAAATTTTGGAAAGTTCTTTGAAATGCTTGAACTAAGTGTGCAACTATTTACCATTAAACGCGCATTAACCTATTATTATAATTTGAAGCCGCCGAAAGTATTTTCAGCCGAGCTCCTCTCCATTTTGTGGTGTTTGTCTTAATGTTTCTTCCAACAAATGGAGGGACATATAGCTTATACTAAGCCGTCTCCGGACGACCGATGAATTTTTTGATGATGAATTTTTCCCTGCTGAGGGGCGACAGCAGTTTGAAAAATCAACAATTTTACCATGAAACTTATATACAGTTGGTAGAAGTGCGTGCGACTATGCGATGGGCAGGTCACACCTTCCACTGTTTATCTGATTGAAATAAAGGATCCTCATAAAAACCCATAAGCTGTTCAGAGGCGACTTAGTATAAACTGTAGGTCTCTTCGTTTGTTGGAAAATCATAAACAATTTACAAATTAACGATTTAATAACGGCAGCAATTCTCTTAGGCATGCTGCGTACAAGCTTTGCACATTCATCCGCACTTATAGTGCACCACTCGTTAATTAAGACATTATTTTAGGCAGTTTTTTTGTTAATTTGTGTTCCTTATTCTTGCGTGTTAAAATAGCCCACATGTGCTCAATGGGATTAAGATCTGGAGACTGTGCAGTCCAATCTAACCAAACAATGTTATTATCTGTAAACCAACGCATCGTAGTCACTAATTTGTGACAAGGAGCATTTTGCTGAAATTGAACCCCGTCTAAATTACTGTCGCCGAAAATGCATTTTTATGTATTTTTAACTATATTACCCAAATTAGAAATATTCTATCACAGCACTACCCAAAAATCATATTAATATGGGTGCCTGGACATACACATATATCCCGGAACAACCTCGCCGACAAAGCCGCCAAACAAGCGAACCAAAGTCCAGTCATCAGTACAGAAAATTTAAGCCTCCTAGATGTTAAAAACCATATCAAACAATACTTCCTCTCGAAACAACGCTTCTAATGGAACTTAACTAATAATTGGTACAAAAGTATAAATTACACGAAGACCCATTTAATAGATTTCTTGCAGGAATCAAAAAAATACCTTCGCGACTCGACGTTATAAAATTCGATCGCCTTAGACTAGGACACACCAAACTAAAACATTTTCACAGTTAACCATCTTCTACTTAACTGCCCGCTGTATATGATCCATAGAGAACGCATTTTTACTAGCACAAGTCCAACTTATTTCCTCTCACTTCCCTCAGCCGAATCAATCCACTTAATAACGGACTTTCTCAAAAGAACAAATATCTTTCATAAGATTTAAGCAAAAGGATTCTAAACTTAAAAATGTAAATATGTAAATAAGTAATGAGCTTAAGCTATATTCGATATAAAATAAAAATAAAAAAATTGTCCATGCCACCCTCGCAAACGAGCATTACGCCGACACCATCAGCAGCCATGCAGCCTCAGATCATAATGCTGCCTCCTCCATTCTTAACAGTGAACGATTTTTTCTATTACTTTCTGAGAGTCACGGCTCCATTCGGGCTTTACATCCTTTTAAACCTGCTTCCAGAAGTCTTCTTCTAACTGTTCGAATACTAACTGGTTTACTAAATTCATCCGAAAGGGCAGCTGCAAGGGCAGAAGAAGATTTTTTGTGATCCTTGTATTCGGTTTTCTCATTTACTGGTTAGACGCTTTCTTTCACTTTTTGATTTATTATTGTGGGATTTCGTTCTGCACTTAGAACTTGAATTCTAACTCTTTCATCGTGACTAATCTCACCTTTTTTAGGCAAATATGAACTGTTTTTATGAGATTGGTAACTTTTCACTAAATGTAATTTACACTTTCACTTTCAAATTTTAAATGCGAAAATATTTTATGAATTTCTTAAAAATTACAATTTTTAGGTTTAGCTTACCCAGAGTGCTATGACTTTTAATATTACACAATTTATTCGATTAATCAACAGTTGAAGACCCATGGAAGACATTTACAAAAAGAACTGGTAACTTTGATAGCCACATTTGAGAATACTTGTATTTTAGTGGGCTGCCTAATAATTTTGGCCAAGGCTGTATGTATATGTACATATGTATTTGCTAACCTAAAGAGCAGTTCTAAGAGCGGGCAAGCTTTTCCTTTCGCAACATTTATTGCTCATACGCCACGGTCACTGCCACTGGCTCACAATTTATATACAATACACACATATATGAACACACACACACACACGCACACAACTACGTACACATATATTCATGTTTTACTGCACAGCAATTCATCGCTTATCACTCATCGGCCAATGTCAATCCCAATCACCTGTCATGCGAACTATGTAGAGAGGGCACCTATCGAGAAGCCCCCACTTCAACACCGCCGCACTAAACATACCAACTAAATGCAATACAAACTCACGACAGCAGATCGAATCGAATTATTGAATTTTCCACTCCCCTGCATTGGGAACAAATATGCAACGCAAAACCATATTATTTTTACTTTTTTACAATTCTATCGTGAGGAATTTATTTGATTTTTCGCTTTTTCGAAGTTAAGCTTTCGTTACGTTTACTTTTCAAAAACATTTGATTTTCATTTTCAATAACAGAGCTCAACGTTTTTTTTCATGCCTCGAACGGTACATCGATAATACTTCGATGTATAATTTTGGGCGCTTACGCTCACCTTTTCTATGGAAACTCCACAAAATTTGGTTTTCTTATAATTTATTTCATTTTACACTTTTATTTTGATATTTTTGTGCCTTTAAAGGTAATGAAATTATTTATTAGGAATTTTTGTGTGGGTGCAATTTATAATTTTGGTGCAGAGGCAGTAATCAAAACAAAAAGCAAACTGTCATTGAGTCGTGTAGACCTTATTCTGCTTTTTGTTTTGCTCGGCGAGTGCAGCAGGTGTTGCCACATGCCCGGTCTAGTTGTGTTGCCAACTTGTGGTAAAGCCTTTAATAATTTCTATGTTTGTAAGTGGGATTTGAATTTTAACGGAACTCTTTTACTGTTTGCTTTTGCGGAAAATTTATTTAAAAACAATCAAGTAAACGTTTTAACGATGTTTTTCTTGCATCAGAGATTATACATTAATCCGATTTTTACAAGTTCCAAGGTCCATATTTATTCCGTCGAATTAAGATATCGAGTGGGCAGCTGTCAGCTGATTTCCCGCTACATTTAGCTGTATTTTTGAGGGTTCAAATCCCCCATGGTCGAATCTAAATTAAAAATATGATTCTCTTTTACAACAAAGTCGACTACTTAAGGAAAGGTCAATTGAGATGTCCTTGTGTGATTCATGCCTTTGGTATCGTTAAATTTAATCGTTCATGGTTAATGTTGACCGTTTACTTAAACACATCGCAGTGCCAAATAGATTACACTTCAATTCAACGTTTTTTTCCTGACATGCTAATATCGCATTTGTTGTTAAGTTTCTGTATGATATAATTTCGAAGTAACTGAAGTCCATGTTATCTATCTTTACATGTCGTTCGTCGTTTCTTATGTAAGAGACCAAAACTCGACAATGACGGTGTAAGTATATGAAAAAAAAGACAAATTATTTCTGCAATATCACTTTGGCGTTATTAAAAAGCGATATCTGTTCAGGAAAAATTGCATAGTACAGAATAATATGGCGTTTACGTTTACGCAAATATGTGACGTGCAAATGTGCTACCTTTATACAAATGTTTGAAAGCTGTAATATGTTCTCAAGTATAAAACTTAACCCACAGTGTCGATTCTTAACCTTGTTCTTTTCCCGATCTCAGACTTGGTAACACAAAGGGCGGATCTTGTGCCGAAATCATAGTTGTGCGCGGAGATAGGGAACTATTCGACATATAAAGGTAAAGGTTAAGTCCTTCAGATAGACGAAAGCACTCCAACTTTGAGCAAGTTAAAAGAGTAAGCGACAAGTCTATTATTGCCATCTCATGGAAAGAGGTTACGCTTTAGAACTCTTGGAACCCTAAATTTTAAACCCTAAACTTTAAATGCAATATAAAGTAAACAAAAACTCTTGAATTTTTTGTATTTATTTAATAATTTCAATTAATTTTGGACGTTTTTCAGCGATGGAATCGAAAACAGTACGCTACTTTTTTTTCAATATATTTACGATTTCTTATAGATATATGATATACATACATATATATTTACAAATAATTTCATATTTAGGCACGTTTTTATTTTCTATTGTATATTTTGTGTGTACATATATAGCATGACAGTTAAATATTATTATTTATTGTTGTTATGTGCAATGTTATTTCACAGTACGACGTCTTATTTGAAAAAATGTGAAAATACATTTTATATATGAAATATACCATATTTTTAAATGTATTAATGTGAAAAACAATGTAGGTAATGTGTTACATATGCAATAACTTTTTGACTTAAAACTATAACAAAAAATCACTTTTACATATACAATAATTACATAATACACACAGATTATTGTAATAAAACAAAATAAAATGTTAAAGAATTTGAACTTAAAAAATATATAGTTCTACCTACTTACTACTTAAGCGTGTATGTGTGTAAACCGACATATTTTTTTGTTTATAACTTACATATGTATCTATATATGAACCTATGGAGACGTGTTAAAATAGCTAGTATTTTGCCTTGCAGCTGCGAAGGTTTAGAATTCCTTGCGCCTAAACGTACATATAAATATTTCTAAAAAAATTTCTATTTTCAAAAACTTAAACATAGTTAATTTCGCCAAAAGTACGCAGAGACGAACTAATACAAGTATTTCTGTAAAATTTCAAATACAATTCTACAGCTAAATGGGAGCTTTCGCTTGGCAATCTTCATTTACTTATTTAACGTTTTCGTTTGTTGATCACTCCATTTTCGGTCTCAGATTGTGTTCGTGCGCCTATTGGAAAGAAAATAATTTAAATTTCTATTGAATTCATCAGTATACGTAGCGCACTCACCTTCAGCGCAATCTTAGTTAAGTTCTCCGCAGTTGATTTTCCCGTTTGCTGCACCATGCCATGGAAGATTTTCGCCTCACTCTTGGTTAGCAGCTCATAAGGAGAGCCGAACTCCACCACTTGACCAGCATCCATCACCAACACCTTGTCCGAGTCCATAACGGTATTTAGTCTATGTGCGATTGTGAGTACGGTACAATCTTTGAATTTATCACGGATCGTCATCTGTATTAACGCATCGGTCTGAGGATCTACATTGGCTGTCGCTTCGTCCAACACCAGAACACGATTCTCCCGCAGTATGGCGCGTGCCAAACACACCAATTGACGTTGACCAACACTAAAGTTGGCGCCCCCTTCGGAGATTTTACTTTGCAGTCCACTTGGCAGTTCAGCGACGACGCTTTTCAATTTAACCTGTGCAAAATTAATAATGAATATACATATACATAATGCACATATGCAACTTTAACTATAAAAACTCACCTCTTCGAGCGCCTCCCACAGTTTTGCATCTGAATATTCATCGAAAGGATCCAAATTATAACGCATTGTGCCCGAGAAGAGCACCGGCTCTTGGGGAATTATCGAAATTTTGCTGCGCAAATCATGTAAACCCATATCTTTCGTGTCACGTGAATCGATAAAAATCGAACCATCATTATATGATAGTCTAAAGAGTGCGTTAATCAGTGATGACTTGCCCGCACCCGTACGTCCCACAATGCCTACCTTTTCGCATGGCTTAATCACGAAATTGAGTGACTTTAAAACATACTCCGCCTTGGGGTCGGGGAAGTAACGTAAACTTAATTCATCGAAGAGAATTTTACCTTGCTCAGGCCATGTTTTTGGTGGTTTCTGGTCCGCTTGCGACTCCAGTTCACCCTCCGGCTCTATATCATCGTATTCTACCACACGCTCCACCGCAGTCATTGTATTTTCCAGTTCTGCTGATTGACGCATACCCCACTGTACCATACCCGTCATGCCCATGGCCTGCGTTATAGCCAAGCCGACATCTCCGCCATTTTCCGGTGGGAAGAGGAAGAAACTCAATGTTATAATAGCAATGTAGACAATGCAACAACAGTCGAGCCAATAGCCAAAGGCGCGAGAGGTGGAGATGAACATGTAAAACGCAGAGCTGTGCAGATCCTGATAGTTATCGAATTCCCAGATGAGCACACGTTGAGCACCGTAAGCGCGTATCGTCGGTAAGCCGGCAAGCGAGGCCGCCATATGAGAGTAGATGGGTGAGCGTGCTAGATATAAGATAATGGAGGTTATGCATATATTTAATCTAAAAAACAGACCTTTGACACTCACTTATCGCCTCCAGCCGCTTAACGTCCCGTGACGTCTTCAGATAGAACGATCTCAAATAATAGAAAAATACCGCTAATATTGCTGTCGGCAGAAGGAAGAGTGGATTCACAATGGCAATTACAACGACAATGCCGAAGAGTGAGAGGAAGATCTGTATGACGTCCATCATAACCGATGGTAATATCTCATCTACTTGACCCATATCCTTAGAGAAGCGATTCAATATGCGACCTGTGGGATTTGTGTTAAAGAAGTACATGGCAGCACGCGTTATACCACGGAACATCGAGTTGTGCAAATTAGTTGAAGCTCTCATGGCGACATTAAAGAAGAGAAAACTGCGCACAAGTGTAATTACAATGGTGGCCACTGTGATGCCAGTAAATATGTAAATGTCTAGCATATCAGCGTTCATATCAACACCCGCCTGGCGCAGCCACGCCATGAATTTCGATTCATTTGGCGGCGCTGACGTTGGTGGCATCGTAGTTGTGACATTAAAACTGTCAATCAAATCGTCAAAGTAGGTGTGGTTAGCGTGAGCTGCAAACAATCTTCCATTTTCTCCTTTTTTGGCAACCCTGTAAGCAAAAGGCAAAAAGGTAGAAGTGTGAAAAAATACTTTACGCAACGCCACGCTCTAACTTACCAGTAAGACAAGAACCAATCACCGCCTGAGGCCAGCACCTGCGCCAACACACAGAAAAACAGCATAAGGAAGAATGTAAAAAAGCCACCGCCGGCTTTGAAATATTTCTGATACAAATCCAAGCCGATTTTGCCCTGCTCCTGTGTTTCTTGCGTCTGCATGGGTGTATCTTCGGCATATGAGTCCGCAACGGAGTTCAAGGAAGCCTCACTATTCCTGCGATTGCTATAAACTTTACTGCTGGAACGCGAGCGAGATTTCTCCTCAACCGCTTCTTCCCGCTCAGGGGCAGCTAACATTTTTGCAAAATCTAGGCCCGACTCACGTAGTGAGTCATAAGTTCCCACCGCACTTACTCGTCCCTTATCCATAATTACAATTTGATCGGCTTGCTGTAGGAACTGCAGCTGATGAGTGACCAACACGACGATATGCTCACGCAGGAAACCACGCATACACTGATCGAAGAGATGGCGGCCCACATGTGTGTCTACCGCGCTTAGTGGATCGTCCAGCAGGTATATTGCAGTTTCACGGTAGACAGCGCGTGCCAAACTAATACGCGCCTTTTGACCGCCCGAAAGCGAAGCACCTCGCTCGCCTACTGTAGTCTTGTCTCCGTATGGCAACAGCTCAAAATCACGTTCTAGTGCGCACTTCTTCACCACTTGTTGGTAACGACGACGATTCATGGGCTGGCCAAAAAGGATATTCTGGCGTACGGTGCCAGTGAAAAGCCAAGGTTCTTGCGAAGCATATGAGAAAGTGCCATTCACCTTAATAGTGCCGGACTCGGGACGTAACTCACCGAGTATGGTTTGTACTATGCTGCAAGGAAAATATGATTAAAATTTCATGAAATTTCGGCCAATAGTTCAATTTACCTTGATTTTCCCGAACCGACGGGTCCGATAATTGCGACCAAAGTGCCTGGTTGCACACGCAAATTCACATTGTCCAAAGTGTAATCGGCCGATTTCCGATCCCATTTGGCCTTTACATTGCTCAACACAATGCCAGCCTCCGAGAGCGTCGCATGTCCATTTGAAGCAAAACCCTTCTCGGGTTCCTTTCTATCTAAAGCTTTCTCATCATCCTTGACAACAGTAGATTGATTACTGCCGGGGTAATTAGGGCTATCAGAGGACTTATCGAGGATATCAGTCTCCTCGTATAGCATGAATTTCTGTATGCGTTTAATGGAAACCAAAGCCTCGGCGAGTTGGGAAATTCCTTGTGGAAAGAAGACCGTCATAGTTGTGCGCAAAATATTATAATAGGCTGTGATGACGAAAGCCTTCTCCGGCGTCAGCACCTTTTGTAGCAAGACATAACCGACTAAACTGAGAAAAATAGAGACGCGCGTTAAAAACATGATGAACGAGAGCAGCACACCGCGTATATACGACACTTTTCGTATGGCATTGATTTCCTTTTTGCGCGCATATGCCACCATTTTGCCAAATGGTATTTCCCACGCGTACATCTTGATCACCTGTATGCCCGCGATAATTTCGTTCATCATGCGGACGCGCTCATCTGTGCGCAAAGCGGTACGCAAGCGTAACACTGACGTCTTCTTGCCCAGCCAACCTTGAAGTGGAATGAACAGCAACATGAAGGCGACACCAAAAGCGGCCGAAACGCCAATCTAAATAAAGAAAAGTACGAATAAGTTAGATGTTTAAAAGTCAACGAGATACAGAGTTAACCCACCTCAATGTACATTAGGTAAGTGATAAAGATCGTTTCCAGTGGACCCAACCAAAGGTAGTGTATAAAAATCATAGCCAAATCCAAGCGACCCACATCGTTCGAGATCAAATTGACCACCTGACCAGCCGTGGTCTCACCCAGTGCCGTTCGGCTCAAACGCAACGCTTTTCTATAAATCATACTGCACATCGCCACACGTATCTTCATGCCCACATGCATCGTGCCCAACATATAGGGATGCATGATTATCACATTTATAGCGCAGCATATGATCACCCCAGCTGCATATAGATATGCAGTACTAATGTTATCTTCCCCTTGCGAATAGTATGCAATTAGACCCAAGAGAAATAAAGGTTGTAATGCCCTGTAAAGAAGAAACTCATTATTGAACGACTCGATTACTTTTGCTGATGCTTGTTTTTACTTATATACCTCAGACCCAATTCGAGTATGAGAAGAACGAGGCCCAAGAGTACAAAGCGACAGCCAAAGACACGCGTTGTGGCTTTTAACAGACTGGGCCCCTTCTTCGACGAGGACGTTTTCTTCAATTCTTGATCCCATGCTGCGCTTAGATCATTACCTAAGGTCTCTGCAAAAGAAAAAATTGCATATATTTATAAGTAAATAGTCGATTTTGTTTTTCTTTAAATTAAAAAAAAAATTAAAGATAATATATGACAGTTGAAAGTCACCCTCACACTTCTCCTCCCAGTGAGTAATTCCGATATCTATAACATTTCTCGCGCGCCCTAAAGAACAACTAATTGATAAATGAAGGTGTATAGCAGACACTTGGCCATATTGCGATCGGGCGAGTAAGTTGAAGAGAACAACAATTAGTCACGAATAGGAAAAGCAGGCGTAATTACTAAGCACATTCGAATTTAATGTGAAACCATCTGTTACCACTGTGTATTCCGATTGCATTAAAGGCAATAGTAAGTGTAGAAGTTGGTTCAGTATATCCAGACCCGGCTGTATATGAGACGGTTGTGCTTCCTGCTCATTTAGGCTTAAATATTTTTTTAAAACGCTCGATCCTTCCATTGTATCTCACTATTCATCAGACTCGTGGCATAACTCTCCTCTCGGCAGGGAATATACCGTCTCTGAGTGTATTTCTCATATTAACCAATTACCTTTTGAAGAGTAGTGCCCATTCATTTTATAAAGATTTTGCAGAAGCATCTTGATTTTCGTGCATGAAGCTCACTTTTAGTTAAATGGTTATGTTAATAAATAAAATTGTCGCATTTGGAGTGATGATAATCCAAAAGCACAGTAAATAAACAAGTAAATAAAACCGCATTTTCGACAAGGTCGGTGCCTGTTCTACTTCCCGCTAGAGCAATAGGAGTTGGTACGAGTCATCGATATTGGTCCAGACGTCCTTTGATTATTAGCGTTTTACAAACATCATTTTTTCGCGTGTACATATGTATACATACATCTATGGTATAGAATCATCTTCGCTGGTGATTCCCACACAAATTTTTAATATTCGATGTGAAAAGAAAAAATAATTTGAAGAATGGGTGAATTATAGCTGGCGCTTAAATGGCGCCTACGCTCATTGAGTAGTAGGAAAATTGCAAAATGTTCAGCATTAACAATCGACTGATATGCTGATAATTGAGGCTCAATTGTAATTGTTTATTTTGGAAATAACTTTATGCATAGTCATGTAGTGCATACAAATAAATACATACATATGTATGTTTATTGCTTACGTACAACACATATAACATTTTAAAAGTTCGTTGACTGCGATTGTGGAAACTGATTGGAACAAAATGCTACAAAAAACTGTAAATATTCTATAATATATGCATTTGTATATAAATGTACTTGTAAATACCATTTACATACATGTATTTCGCATAAATATGTACATTGATACGTATTCGTACTTACATACGTGTATGTACATACATACATATGTACATGTGTGCTTTTGCCACAAATTTTAATTTGATAACATTCAGCAACATTAACGAATCATAAATTCATAATTGCTGTCAACAGCGCAATGAAATAATTTATTAACAACACATTATTGATTAAAACGCGTATACCTACATATGTGTGATTACATGTGTATCAATTTCAAACACGCACACGCAGGCTCATACATAAGTACAAATGCATAGATTTAATAAAATTTCGGATTGGTGTTCACGTCGACTTGCGCTTGTTTGGCTCCACATGTTTTTATCTTTATTTTTCGCTTTGTATTTCCCCTTTTCACCGGCAAAACACACGAAAACATTTATGTAAATTTGTGGATATATACGTATGGGTCGATTTGTTGACTACATAATTTGCCACTCGCACATAAATTTCACAAAATATATTTTACTGGTTCAAATATTTATATTACAAAACTAGACTTGTTTTAAGGCTTTAAAATAGTAGGTAAAATGGTATTGGTTAATATTTCCAAACTGCTCTACAAATTTATTTAAATAAAGCTTCAAACTATAATTAGACTTTATTACATAAAACTCTAAAAACTGCTAGTAACAAAGCCATTCGCACATTAGGATATGAAAATTTTCCATTATGGGTAAAAATCATAAATCAAGACTCCGTTGGATCCAGATGGAGGAAATGGAAAGTAATCCGATCTGGCCGGTTCCGTCAAATGATCATTTGAAATATCTCCAAAACTAGTTTAGTGTACGTTAAAACAAATTGCCCGATTCATTCTTGCCCGATTGGAATAGATTTGTATGGCTTGTTATTAATACCGTTGAATATTTTAAATGAAATTCCCAAAATAAAATTTAAAAAAATTATGCAAAACTAATATATCGCAAAACTAAAATATTTTCTATTGGATAGCCGTGAGCATGTAGTGGTGATGAGCTTAATTTTTACTCGTATTAACATCCCCTATCAAGCAGGTGCTAGAGTTTTATTGCTTCTGTTGATAGTGTGTACACGCGCATGTGTACATATGTACGCGAAGTAATGAGGGCAAAAAATTAGAGAAGCATCGCTCGCTAGAAAGAACTCCCGTCTATTGCTGAGTTGATGCAAATAATCTTTGCGTCCAAGGTTTACGATGGGCAATTGCAGTAGTACTTTTGTACATATTTACGAGAAGAAAACGATTACTCTTTCAACGGCATTAGCAATAAAAGCCAAATGCGAATGCGCTTGTCGCTGGGTAAATATCATATACCCGTATATATATTATATTCTTAATAGCGAATAATAAAGCTATAAACCCAGCATACGAACTCTAATGTACATACGAGGTGTGACAATTAAGTAATGATACTGATTCCCTAAAAACAGTATATTTCAAAATTAATCTACAACTCTGACATCCCTTTTAAAAAAGTCCCCTGTATAGGTGCCTATACAACGATTCCATGCTTCATAACATTTCTGAAACGTTTCGACTAGGATGTCCGCGAGTACCCTCGTCACGGCCGCCTGGATGTCCTCAATCGACTCCTAATGGGTTCCTACGAGTGATGTCTGGGCGCACCCTGTTTACACGTTTTCGCAAACTTTCGAGTACTTGGCGATAGTAGACTTGATCGTGGCGAACCGTAACCCCAGTGGAAGCAGGGTTACCACAATCGCGGCAATATAATCAGTCTCATTACTTCATTGACACACCTCGTGCATATGTATGTACTTACGAAAGTTTGTTGTGCTTTATATTGTTGTTAAATTCGCATATATTTATATATAATAATTAAAAATTTCTTATCGTTTCAAAGATAGGAAAGTATTGTGAAATTGTGTATTACATTAAGCATTGACTGTTGTACACAACTGTGTATACATATGTATGTATGGATGTAGCTATTTTCATGAGTTCATAAACTTGGCGATTAAGGGCGATTACTTCCGTCAGACGGTCCAAATGTTAACTATACATGCCCGATCTAAGAATTTGGAAGTAGAGAAACAGCTCATAGTGGATGATTTCTTATCAACTCCAATAACACTCACTACAAAACCCTGGCTGTGTTCCGCCTTACTACGCTACGACCATGAACGTTTTCGTTTGACGTTACCATAAGTGATCCACTCCAAGATAGGTGGATGATCTTCGATTGGTCTTTTTAGTACCAAATATCATCATCTCGCGTAATCCAAACGCACTTATAGAACGCCATATACAGATTATTAACCACTGAATCGATAGTTTATAAATACAACGCCGCCTCCGCACGGCTGATTAATTTTTATGATGGGATTTTTATTTCATGTCACAAATACACTCAGAGTCCTTGATATTCCCTGCCTAAGGACGACCGAATTTAGAAAAGTTAAATTAAATTAATTAAATTTAGTTTGTATAACAAAAATATTCAATACATACAAACAAACCAGGTTTTAGCTAACTAAAAAACTTAACAAAAAATTAAGAGTATCACCTCAAAAAACAGAAAAAAAGTTTTGATTTATGTATATAAATATTCTATAATTTTCCAATATGGTTGGGCCAGGGCTAGAGTTCTAAATGGCTGTGTGGATGGGTCTCCTTCATCTCCTTCAACTATCATTTTCTTCGGTAATTATAGAAGTTAGTACCTCTGGTACGCACGTGAAAATGCGCTCCTTTCAGCCTGCTCCGCGTGAGAAACTTTAAGGGATGGACTTTTAATGTGATTCTAATAAATTACGGGGCGTTATTGTCCTGTTATCTTCGGTTGACATACGAGTATATATATAAGTATATAGTATGTGCAAAGCAATTTCAGATGTTGTCACAAATTCATCGTAATTAACATCGTCTTGACTTATGTATCAGTAGATAAGAAATAAAATGAAAAGCGCGTAGTACAATCGTTTTGAGGCGACATCATCGTTGAGCAACAAAGCAATTTGGTTCAATTAAAGAATTCTATACAAATTCGTATAAAATGAATATTCAACAGCAATACAATTCAGTATTATTCATGCATGACTACTGATTTATTAAAATGTATTGAATAAAAGGCGAATATGTATGTATGTAGGGAATGTACGTATGTCACGAATCGTTAATGAATTGAAAAAATTAGAACATACAATATACGTGTATGTATATATATATACAAAAGGGCGAACAAAACTTTACATTTGCGGGGAAATTAGATTTTGCATATTGTGCCTTGGCCGCCGAAATAGTATAGTATCTTTAATTTCGCAACCTTTAAATATGTCAACAGAGCTTACAAGTGGTATAAAAAATTTAATTATTTTTACCCAATTAAAGTGTTAAAAAAATAAATATTTCATGATGATATTTCAGATGTTACAATATTAAGCTAAGACTTGAAGGATATTTACCATTTTAAGCCGATGGCCTAATTACTAATGCTTTATTATTATTATTTTTTTTTTGTAATTATAATTCTCTTCTTTAATAATATAAAAAAAAAAGAGGCTAACTCAAGACGAAGAAGTCTTAATGGAAAATGGAGTTATCTACAATTATAGGTCTTCTCACAGAGTGTATTCTATTAAACAGACACGCGGGGAGGTGACGCGTATCCTCTAACGACTTCTGTGGGAGTGTAGGTTGAAGTTTCTATGGGCGGCAATTCTTAGAGCTTGGAGCAAACATGAGCAAAAATAACGTGATTGCTTCACACATTGGTTTGAGTAGCAGGTGGGGGTCGTTTGCTGGTCCGGCTATCACTTCATCCTACCTACCTATCTTCCTACTTTCAAAAATATTTGATTTTATAGATTTTTTATTTTAAAAACAAAATTTTCTGTTTCTGCGAATTCTTTGGACCACCCAAATGTGAAAACGTATTCCATATTAAATATATATTGCATTGATAGAATAAAAACAAATGAATGAGTTGTAAAAACAATCTAGTCTCAATCAAAATGCATTTGAAGTCAATGTTGCTGCTTCTAAGTTGAGATGCATTCATGAAATTCTTATATTCTCAAGCTAATTCCTTTATTCAGTTCACATATGTATGTACATGGCAATCTGCAGCGCTTTTGCCAATACCGTTAGTTTGGTATTTAGCACAATTTTTACGCTTAACAATTTTTTTTTTCAAATATCTCACTGCGTACTCTAATGGTAAGTCTGACGATAGAGCTCTACTTGATTTAGTCGGATGCACAGAAAAAGAACCCACCTCGAAAAAATATACGCTCGGTATATTCCTCGACATTGAAGGGGCGTTCAACAACATTCTTCCTGTATTTACAATAGAGGCTCTTCAACAGCCCAGGGGTTTGTTTACTGGATTTATACATCGCCAGTTAGAACAATCCTACTCTATGGAGCAAGTTAGAGAAAGTTCAACGGTTGGCTGCTCGGTATCACGAGCACTTCAATCAACTCCCTCAAAAGCTGTTCTTCATTAGCATAAGACGGACTTAATAACTGGACACTGTCCAATGAGGCTACTCGGAAAAAGAATGGGATATCACTCTAATGATTTTTGATGCAGCGGTAGAGACGAAGAAGAGAAGGAGACCATCGGGCACTACCTCTGCCACTCTCCCGCCTTCACATCAGCAGGACACAAGTTTCTCAGGAAACATTTATTCTTATTCGACTGTCTCGCTAAGATAGTCTCAGCGAATATTGAAAATCTCGTTGCCTTTATAAGGCACACGAAAATTTAAGAAGGTGAAGGCAAAAGCCTCAAGTTTATCATAATGGCCCTATAGGTCTAAGTGTGCTGGTAGACATCAGCGGCCGCATTACCTCAGCTCAACTTAATATATAGCGGGTTGTATTAGGTTGTAGTTACAGTTGCAAGACTATTCCGAATTCCTACTCCTGCGCTCTCGGCGTTAGTGGAGCCATGCGATTCGGTTCAATGAATGTTAGAGAAAGCAATAAAGGCCTCGAATTCCTATTCTACTTTGGCCTATGTAGGCATCGAATAAAAAATTCATGCCGAAAAAAACATTCTTTATATACTATTCAATTTATATGAGAACTAACTTCCAATTTAGAGACATAACCTCATATTAACACTACTCTAACAACTCACCTGATTTGTGCACCGTTAACGCTTTGTATAAATCTTTTGTGTCGAGAGTTTTTTTACGCCCTTTAAAAAATATAGGCAACGTGTACCTATAAAAATTATAAAAAAATAAAATGATTAAATAATATAGAAATTGGAGAAAAAAAATAAATCATAAATATGTAAGTATGAGAGGAGTTTGTGCACCCGTTAAAATCGCATATAATGTATAATTTTTATAATTTACTATGAATAAATCAAGCACTTTTTCCTAGAGAACGGAACGATATCAAATAACTTACCAAAAGCAAAGCGCTGATATCACATTGGCACGTTCGCGTGGATTCTCTGGCAGGTCTTTAGTTTTAACTGATTGCATTTTGTTTTACACTGAAAATAAAGATATTCAAGATTATGATCAAGCAATAAAAACTCATTAGGATGCAATCAAAAACCAAAAACACAATAAAACAAGAAAGTAGAGCTGTCTTCGGTTATGCCGAAGTTTTTATACCTTTCGGAACAATATTAAATGTATGGTATTTCATTTTAGGATGAAATATAATATTAATTCTCATATCGGATTTTATGAAGTTTTCCGATTTCTAGGATTTTCGGTGTGTATAATGCCAAATTTCAACCTTTTAGATGGTCTTTTGATGGATTCTTGGCCCAACCCCTCAAATTTGAACAAATCGATTGTATGGGAGCTATATGTTATAGTCGCCCCATTTCACCACCAATGTGTAATTCATTATATGTGTGTACAATACCAAATTTTAGTCTCTTTGAAGGTTTATTGAAAAATATATGATTTCAAATCTGACAAATCATTCGCTTACGAAGGTTGCCTTAGATTTCGAGATTTTGCAACGCTAGTGTTACTATCTGGCAACCAACAACTTTATCGCGCGGTTATTTTTTTGCAATTTGTGACGATGAAGCTCCATCAAGGACTAGTATTAATCAATGGTATGTTGAATGTAATATACATAGGTCTCAGTTCACTACGAGACGAGTTTCGTGAACGTCATCCAAAATAATTATTAATGCTGTGAGCGAAGTGATATTGAATTTCGTGTGGCATAAGGTGAGATTGAGACAATGATCCGCATTCAACAAAAGTGGTTGGCGCAAAAGTGGCAAACGTACTTCTATGGTTGGTTGAAACGCATGCCAAAGTGTCTAGATTCTGACAAATGATTATTTAAATTCAACTGTTCATACTTTGGACCAAAGGTAATATACATATGAGTATATCCTATACCATTTTATGTACATAAAAGGTATAATTGTGAACAAAAGCGCTTGCTAAATAAAAACTAAGTGCATTAAGAGGTATATACATGGACGTAAAAAAATTATATGCATTGTAAAATTATTTTTGCTCACTGTAAGATAAATACAACAATTTGCAGTTGCAGCGAAAAGCGATAAACTTGTTTAATGACAGCGGAGTTGTGCAAAAAATTTCAACCGAGATATTGTAGAACTGTGCAAAAAATTTGATGCACATATACATATACATATACATATATATAGCATATTATTGAAACAATGTGATTTTGGAAAATTATTACAATCACATACATGCACTCGTATATATGACTTTAAAGGCAAATGTATGCATGTGAGTGAGTTCGTTTATTGTTTTGGGGGCGGTTAGTAATTTCTGACATCACGAATATAATGTGGTTATATACATATTTATTTCGAGGTATGGGCTCACGCTTCTGCTAAGTCACTCAAGCCCAAGACATTACGTGGATACCAAGATTTTGCGAAGGCGGAAATAGACCTACAAATAAAACTAAACTATTTGCCAATTTACATGCATACAAATTAAATTAATAAAAAAAATTAGATACGCGCACAATCTATTCCGAAACTACGAAACAAATTCAGCATTTGTTCTTTCAAGACAATGTTTTGCTTTCGTCAGGTCGTAGTTTCAGTTCGCCTTAACTCGGTCTCAAATGCTTGTTAATACGTTCTTTACTGCCAACTTAAGCTTCCCTCGATTTGCCTATGACCAAATATCCATGTAAGAGACGGACTGTTCTTTCTCGTTCATGCTGAGGATGGGTGCTTCAGCGAAACCTATCTCCCAACTTTGGTCCCTTACTGTCATGTATCTCATAGCAGTTGTGATGACTTTAATGCTTTAAGTTTCGAGAAACAAATCCGAGCATCGCTATATGGCTTCATAAAGCCACACTAAGTTTCACAAATGCAATCTATACCTTTGTTTAACTCTAAGGCATTGTGAGCCTTTCAGATAGTGAGCACTAAATTTAAAAAGCACATTTATCTTTGGTTGGTTGGAATGGGTGGGCGGAATTATAAGTTCAATCACCTTCTCGTGATGGGTTCTGACTTAGTTTTATTGTTGGTCAAGGAGAGGGAGAGAGAACGGAAAAAGAAGGGCAAGAGTGTGGATGGGCTTCTATTAGAGCACGAACCTATTGAATTGAACTGTTTTGTGAAATAGGCTGAAATCGTTTATTCTAAGGTTTGTTTCACTGATCTACCTCGCCAATTCAATTTTTTTGACTGGGTTCTTGCATTTCTTAGTATCAAGAGATATTTTTTATCACTTCATCATGAATGCAATTAAGTTTACACCTGTAGGCAGGCTGGATCTACAATTACTCTCACAAATTTATATATTTGATGAAAATTTCAACACTTTAGGTTCGATGCGAGGATAGTAAATAAATATCAACCATTCGATCAGAAATTTTGTGTGCTCTAATTTTATTCAGTTATACAATTTTTCCGCTTCCCGACGAATCCCAATTCTTAGTTTCTTGATTTTCGACCCACCCAACTGTTATTTACGTACGTATAAATTTAGATTATGTTATATATATGTATATATATAGAAGGAGGATGAGTTTATAGTTTATGGTGTTTTGAGCTCTTATGCTAAATTTGTTGGCTAATTAAAAATATAATATACGTATTTAATTACAATAATTCAAGAAGGTTGCGCGAGTTTGCGTGAGTTTTGTAAATTCCACTTCTTAAACCAAGACTCACGCGGGAATGAGTGCATTCTATATGTGCATATGTATGTACATGTACCTACATATTTACCTATGCTTGTTTAATGTTAAATTAGTTTAGTGCAGCGCTACTACTTACTTGCGATTATATCAATATTATTACAGCAAATTAAAGCGTAAAGCGATGTGAAAATTCAAATCAGAACTAACTCGACATGACCAACACTGATCGAAAGCGGAAAGTAAATAATGTAAAATCAATTACGAAAGACAATAATGTGAACGAAAACTCAATTGACTCATTGTGTAGTGTTGTGATTTTCTAGCAAATAAGAAGAATAGGTTGGAGGACAGAACGAATTGGAAATTATCGCAATTGCGCTTTCGTAATTGAGGAAATACATAAATATACATACGAGTAAATGCATATGGTGGTATGGAAAGAATCCATCAAATTTTGAGAAAATTTCTTTAAATCAATTTGATTTTTTTAATATATTTAATAATTTAACAAATATTTATTATACAAATCACTTGAACGTATCTATTATTATTTTACACTATTTAACTGTGTTTACTTCTGTCTTTAGCAGTTTATTGAATTAGACTATTCCATAAGTGTGCCTCTTTATATTTCTTTCAAAAATGCTTCTCAAACGAATTGTGATAATAATACTTAAATTTATTTACCTGCAATGTAAATGTAACAATCTAAACTTTTAAGTTGATGAAGTCGTCTTCTAAATTTCTTAACCAAGCTAGTCGTTTGTTTATCCACCGATGCTAAGTACATATGTTTGTATGCATGGGACGATTGCTTTGCTACTCAATTTGGCTGATAGAAATTCGTATCAGTGGTGTTGAATTTTTTCATGTGCTTTGGAAGTATTTCATTACCTTTTTTCTTGGAATTGCTCACGCAAGTAATATAATTTCTTAAGTCAATGTACTTTTTATACAACTTGAGAACTATGTTTAATATATTATATTTAAATAAAAGCATGCACAACAGTACGTATACGTAACTCTGCTATAGCTAAATATTAGGTCAAGTAAAAAGTTCGTTCGGTCCATAGTACTGATGTTACGTGTCGCATCATGTCATACTATATGTGTTTATTCGCGCTTAAAGTTTGTCTTTGACAGTTTTTCGATTGATTGCCTCAGTACGTTGTGTGCGCTCGTCAAAGATGGACACCAGCAAGGCGAAAAATCAGCCAAAGCGGCTGAAAAAATTAATTTAGTTTATGGGCCCGATACTGTAAACGAACGTGTAACACAAAAGAGGTTTGCTAGATTCCGTTCCGGTAATTTCGATATCAAAGATGCATCACTCGTCGGGAGGCCTGTTGTCGAAAATTGCGATAAAGTCATGGAAATAGTGGAAACAGACCGTCACGTGAGCACTTATTTAATTGCTGAGGAAATAAAGATAAGCCAAAAAACTGTTTGGAACCATTTGCATAACCTTGGATTCAAAAAGAAGCTCGATCTTTGGGTGCCTCACGACCATGATGGACCGAATTTTCATCTGCGAATCGCAGCTGGGTCGACCCGTTTGGCAATAGAGTTTCAAGTGATGCCCTCTTACTTTATTCATCAATCATATTACTGAGCTCACGAATATTATTATTTTTTATTTACTGCACTCACTTATATAATTTAAAGTGTAAATTGATGACACATAATGGAAAAAATGCATTATAAAATTCGAATTACTTTAATGAAGCAAAAATGTATTTATGCAGGAAAATCTTTGAAGCTTTATCATTAACTGATGTTTAAAAAGAATTTTAAAGTCTAAACTCTGAAATTCTCCGTAACCGGAAACTACTGTAATTTATACTGTATTACTTAAAGTTGCACTTTTCCATGAAGCCGGATCTTGGAAATGTTTATAAAATTACCTGTTTACTTTGTTGTAGTTGGAAGTAAGCAGAATATTTTGAATCAATATTTTATATCTAAAATTATTCGAGAAATGTGTGTATATTTCTTATGATTATAAGCATAAGTGCGGATGTGTGCACATCAATGGATAAAAAACACTTCAAAACTAGTCAGCCCGTCCACTATTTGCAGAAAAGCCTGGAATAATAAAAAATTTTCAAACTTTGTTTAGAACAAAATAGCTAAAAAAAATTTTAAATTATTTCAAACTTTCACCATGTTGTCTAAAAATTGTTTTAGTAGAAAGAAAAGAGTAAAAAAAAGTTATAGTTTAATGATTTAGAACTCATTTTCTTTGAATTCCAATCGATTTGCTCATAATTTTTGTTTGTTTTTATTTCTTTTATGTATGTACATTAGATGGTATTGTAAGTATGTAACCTCCACAAAAGGAAGGGATAGAGCGGCCAAAACTTGTACCGATCGGATCAG